GCCGGGGTGCACGGCTGCCCGCGTCCCGCGGCAGGGGGGTCGTCCGTGCCCGCCGCTGCAGCGCCGCTTGGTCCGGGGGCTCTCCGGCCGCCGCCTCGCTCCCCTCCGTGCGCTCGGCGTGCCGTTGCCTCAGGTGGTGGGCGGCATCGTCAATCCGGACGAGCGCAGGGCTTAGTCGGCCGCCCCTTCCTCACCCCCTCCTCCTCCCTCCTCACTCCTCCCTCCTCCTCCTCCTCCTCCTCCTCCTTTTTCTCCTCCTCCTCATCCTCAGCGTTTTTCTGGTCCTCCTCGTCCTCCTCCTCCACCGCCTCCTCATTCTCTTGTGTCTCATCCTCCGATGACTCCTCCTCCACCACATCATTATCTTCCTTGTCCGTCTCCTGCTTTGAGCTGGGCAAATTGACGGGGTCAGAAATGTACAACCATGTCGGGTCAAGTCGTCCACGCCCACTATGCATGATGCTTGTGGCTGTACAACATGACGTGCACCAGGGCCAATATAGTGTCGTGGTCAAGAAGTCCCGTTCGCATCATGCCACTATCGAGCCCATTGCTGCCATCCCCCGATGAGACATGTTGGAATACATGGACTTGTTGTTTTATTAATTTCCTCATCGATCTTCTCGTCCTCGTTGGACCTCGTCCGTGTCCTTGTCCTCCTCCTCATCATCATCGTTGTTATCCTCTTGATCGTAGTCCGTCTCCCCCATACCCTTCCTCCTGGTCGGTCAACACAAGAACGACTGTCCTGACGAGGCCGGAAGCCCTCCAGATTTTTCAACACGAGCGTTGCTCCACCCGGCCAGGTGTGGTGCAGAGGCTGGTTTAGTGCGCACAGGGGCAATATTCGCACACCTGATGCTGACGCTGCGTCCTTACACTTCCACCCTCCACCTCTTCTTCCCTCTTCGTTCCCTTCGCCTCCTCCTTGCCGTCTCGCTCCTCGTTAGCAGGCCTAGAGATTGACACCAACACCAGTATCGGCGGTGTGCCTCCACCGAGGGAAGAAGATCCCGATCTCGGTGATGGTGGTAACAGTCTGTCCTCCAAGGTGGCCGAACTATGACCACCGACACCGAGATCTAGGATTCTCTTCCCCCTGCGGAGGCAAACCCCTGTGTGGGGTTTCTGGTGCCTAGTTCCAGGCCTCGCGCCTCGTGCCAGTCATCCCCTTCCTTCTGCGCAGGCCGCTGGCTCGAGCCGCCCTCGGCGTGCAGGAACTTCTTGGCCTTTGCCTTCGTGTCGTCCTCCTCCTCCTCCTCCTCCTCCTCCTCCTCCTCCTCCTCCTCCTCCTCCCTCCTCCCTCCCTCCTCCTCCTTCCTCCTCCTCCTCCTCCTCCTCCTCCGCCTCCTCCTCCTCCTCCTCCTCCTCCGCCTCCTCGGCCAGTCATCCCCTCCTCCTCGCGCAGGCCGCCGGCTCGAGCCGCTGCCCGCGGCCCCCCGCCCGCGGCCCGTTGGGCCGGCGGGCGCGGCCCGCCCTCCCCGCGCCTCCCGCGTGCCCGCGCACCGGCCGGCAGGCTGCGAGCGGCTCGGCCGCAGGCCCGCGCGTGGGCAGAAGTTCGGGGGCGGACAGAACCCCCAACAGTGACAGACCTCCTCCTCTCCCTCCTCCTCCCCTCCTCCACCTCCTCCTCCTCCTCCTCCCTCCTCCTCCCATCCTCCTCCTCCTCCTCACTCCCCTCCTCCTCCCTCCTCCTCCTCCTCCTCCTCCTCCTCCGCCCCTCCTCCTTCCTCTTCCCCTCCTCCTCCTCCCCCTACTCCTCCTCCTCCTCCTCCTCCTCCTCCTCCTCCTCCCGATCCGATGTCACGCCCCTTTCGTCACGAGGGAATCGGGACGGCCAGTCGTTCCTCGTGCCCGTGCCTCTGTCGGGGGTGGACAGAACCCCCAACAGTGACACGTCGATTAGTGAATTGTCCGTTTTCGGTTCTCGAGGGGGCGCCGCGGCCGTCATTTTTCAGGCTGGCGCCCGCCAGGGTTTTGGGCCTCGGGTCGTTTTCACTGAACCACGTTTTGCTAACGGGAGGTCTGTCCATCCCCGTAGAGTGGTCCTGGGTCGAGGTCGGGCCCTGTCCCCCTACAGGGGGGTTTTATGCGAAGAGTTCGAAAAATATGGAAAAAAGATATTCCCGACATGTCAGGAGCAGTCAACAGAATAGTCCCCGGGCTAATTTGTTACTGTTTTGGAGTCGGCCTCCTGCATCAGGAGCGAAAGAAGGACGTTCATGTACATGAATCCACGCTGGTTTCGAGAGTACGCATTGCGCAAGTGATCGTCTAACGCGGCCAGTCTCGCGGATCGAGGGGCCGTGTTCATGTACATAGCTGGGCGCGTACGTCCTCTGTGGGCTCCCTACTGTGGAGGGACAGGCCCGACTTAGTAGTCCTGAGTCGAGGTGGCCAGGGGCCCGCCCAGGCCCCCGTCGGCCACGGCGCGTCCAGGTGCCGAGAGCCCTCCCTCGTCTCGGCCCCCCTCTCCGGGGACGAGGAGCAGCCGGGGACGAGATGGGGGAGACAGGACGGGAGGGGGAGACAGGGCCTCCTCCTCCTCCGCCTCCTCCCCCTCCTCCTCCTCCCCCTCCTCCTCCTCCTCCTCCTCCTCCTCCTCCTCCTCCCCCTCCTCCTCCTCCTCCTCCTCCTCCTCCTCCTCCTCCTCCTTCCTCCTCCTCCTCCTCCTCCTCCTCCTCCTCCTCCTCCTCCACCTTCCTTCCCCCTCCTCCTCCTCCCCCTCCCTCCTCCTCCTCCCCCTCCTCCTCCTCCTCCTCCTCCTCCTCCTCTTCCTCCCTCCTCCTCCTCATCATCCTCCTCCCTCCTCCTCCTCCTCCACCTCCTTCTCCTCCACCTCCTCCTCCGGGGCGGGCACGAGATTTCGTGCCGCTGGTTTGCCGCCAGGCGCCTTCCTCGATGCAGTGGCGTCTCCGGCGCAGGGAGGCGCCAGGGAAGCCAGCTGCGCTGCTGGCCCCTCCCTTCAGCCCGGCGCGTGAGATATTTCCTGGGGAGGTGGTCGAGAGCTCTTGGGATTCACGCCAGGAAAAGATCACGGCGTTGGAGATTCGAGAAGGAGGCCCTGGTGGCCCCAGAGTGGCCTTGGACGAAGCCCAAGATGCCTGCAGTGTTGCCCGGGGGCTGGGGGCACATTGGGCTAGAGGCTTTCTGTCAACACCTGGCAGGCGGCGCTGGCAGAGGATGACTGCCGCAGCAGTGATGCCAAACGAGCTCTCCCAGTATGACGAGGAGGAGCCAGAGATCAGAGGGAACTTAACGTTCAAGCCCGTGATGGAGGTGTTGCCGAAGACGAAGCGCACGGAGAGACTTCACGATGAGAAGATCCGTCAGCTCCAGAGGAAGAAGAAGGAGGCAGAGGACCAAAAGAAGCTGAAGGAGGCAGAGGTGGCAGCGCAGCGGCAGCGCGTGAATGAGCAGAAGAAGGCCCAGCAAGAAAGGATAAGGCGTGAGGCGGAGTTGGCGCGGAAGAAACGTGAGGAGGAAGAGATGAGAAAAAAGGCAGAGGGAGGGTTCGAACAATTGCTTGACGCTCTCAGAACCAACTCTAGCCGTCCGGACGTGACAGCCTGTGGCATCGAGCTGAACCCGGCGCAGGTGCGCCTGTTGGCCAACAGCCTGACTGACAACAAGTCGTGCCTCTCCCTCAACCTTAGCCGTAAGGGGTTCGGCGATGAGGATGGCGTGGCCATGGCGGGGATGCTGGAGGTCAACAAGGGCTTGCAGAAGCTGGAGCTGGAAGGGAACAATCTCGGAATGAAGGCCGCCGAGGCTTTCGGAGACGCACTTCGGAAGAACAACACCCTGAGGTCGCTAAACCTCGAGAGCAACAACCTGGCGCACCCGGGCGGCACTGCAGTCAAGGGCGTGATCGAGCTGGCCAACGCCCTGAAGGTCAATTCGACGCTTCGCGTGCTGATGCTGGGCAAGAACGCGATCACGGGGACCGAGGTGGGCGAGTATCTGGTGAGCGCCATCGAGGCCAGCGAGTCCCTCACAGTTGTCGACCTCTCCGGCAACGACCTAAGCGTGGAGCAGCTGCGCCGAATCGACAAGGCCGTGCAGCGCAACCGCGAGCGCCTCAGCGCGATCCGGCGGGCGGAGCGGCGCGAGCGGTTCGACCTCTACAACGAGGAGTTCAAGTGCCGGCAATACGACATGCAGGTGGAGGCGACGCGCCTGGAGATCGAGGCCCACGAGGAGCGGAAGCTGAACCGCATGAAGGCCCGCTTCGAGAAGTGGGTGGAGGACACCCACGAGACCGAGGAGCAGGAGAGGATCGCCTTCGAGGACCTGATGTCGGAGGCGGCGGACCGCGCCGAGGGCCGGAAGGGCAAGAAGGGCAAGAAGGGCAAGAAGAAGTGAGCGGGCGGCCGAGCGTTTTTCCCCCGAAGCAGAAGGCACTGCACACCATACATTGTCGGAGATCCGAGCGGATGTCTCGGCTCGGCGTGGGAGCCCCCGTGGCTGCGCCTCGGGCGCCGCCTCTGGCGCCCGAGGCCCGCCAGGGAGGGGGGTCCAGCGCCGATCCAAGAAATCCGCGCGGACCTCCGAACGTTTATGGAGGGGGAGGGGGAGGGAGAGGGGAAGGATCCTCCTCATGTTCCGTCGCACTGGGGCTGCTTGCAGGAGGTCCGAAATGTCGGAGCTTGGTCAGACGGCAGTGCTGGGGCCCTTCCCTTACGGACTCTGCACCTTGTAACTGCAGCTGGCATCGGACTGGAAAAAGGCATCCTGGTCTTTCTGGGCCTCCCAAATAGGGTCCGAGTAGATGGGGTCGGAGGATAGTTCCGCAGCGCCGATGCATCGCCGATGCGGCTCGATGTGGAGCCCAATTCTCTCCACGCCGACGTCGCCGATGCATCGCCGATGTTGCCCATACATCGCCGATGCATTGGCGATGCGTCGCGATCCTCCGACCCCACCTACTGGGACCCCACCTAGGAGGCCTCTACATATCCAGCTGCCTGCGGCAAATCCCGCCACCGTAGCAGCGCAACAACGCAGAAGGGAGGACTTATTTGAGGTAAGGATCCGCTCCAGTTCAGCCCTCTGTCTGTTGCGCACGGGGGAATAGGTCCTCCTCGTCCTCGGCCTTATTGGTGTCGTCCCCCCCCTTCTCATACGTCCTTCGTTTCTTTTGTCGTCATTATTTCCCTCCCATCCCCCCTTCCCTTCTGAGCGCACCTTGGAGACATCTTCTGTCCCCCTTTGTAAGTTAGGGGTTGACTTTAAGACCCGTTCCAGTTCATCGTCCTGTCTGAACTCGTGCGGCTTTTGACCACCCTCTTTTTTGTGCGCAGTTTCTTTCTCATCCATTATATCTTCTCATGATCCCGCGTTCTTCACACTCCCCTCAGGATGAAACTTGTGCGGGTCCTCCACTCCAGTTATTTCACCCCTGTCTCCCCAGACTGCTTAACTAGACGAGAGAGTGCTTCCCCTCCACGGTCGGCATTGGCGCGGGTCTCAAATTCTGCCTCCTTCCTTCCTTCCTCGCAGCCTCCTTCTCATCATGATTTCTTATCCCTCCCTTCTCGCCCCCCTCATTCCAATCTGTGACCTGGTGCGGGCCTGAAACCCCGTCTCCCTCGCATCGTCCTCTCTGGACTGCATACGCACCCGCCCGCGACGAAACGAATCGAGGCAGACGACGTCGAGAATAATAGCACCAGTGCCACTGTGCCAGCGCACCAGCGCAGCAGGAGGGAAGTGCAGTTAAAGGCCCGCTCCAGTTCAGACAGGGCGCTGAACTGGAGTGAGTCTTGAACATGGCCTCATCGTCCATAGCCTCGTTCTCCGCTTTCTTCCTTGTCACTCTTCCTCCTATCCTCTCCTCTCCTCCACCTCCCTCTTGAAGCCCTCTTGGAGGCTTCCCTTGGAGACTTGTCTGGGGCTTCTTTTGGGCCTCTTGGAGGCCTCTCGGGGCCGTCTTGGAGGCCTCGGGGCTCGTTTGGGAGCCTCTGGCAGAATGTTGGCGGCCTTCTGGGAGCCCTCCCAGGAGTATGCTGGGGGTCTCAGGGACACTTTTGGATGAAAGGGCTCCCAAGGCCAGTTCGAATTCCCTCTTTGGCCCCTCTTTGGCCTTCTTGGGGGCTACTGGGGTCGTTTGACAGAGCGCGTTCTGCTGCTGCTGGCAGGGAGGGGGGGGTCCGGAACCTTCCCCCCTCGGAAAATATCCAGAGGGGTCCAGAAACCCCTCCCCCGCCCGGGAAAATCATTCGAGGGTCTAGAGCCCCCTTCCCCCCAGGGCCACGACGACGACGACGACGAACGATGTCGCCGCTGGCAAACGACGCGGACGGCGACGACGAGGACGATGAGGAGGAGGACGACCACGTTCACGACCACGACCACGACCACGACCACGACCACGTCCACGTCCACGACGACGACGACGACGAATACGCCGACGCCGACGACGACGACGACGTCAACGTTAACGTCAACGTCTACAACGGCGACGACGACGACGACGACGACAACGGACGACGACGATGACGACGCCGACGCCGACGCCGATGCCAACGCCGACGCCGCCGCTGGCAGACGACGCGGACGACGCGGACGACGACGACAACCACAACGCCGCCGACGACGACGAAGACAACGGCGACGACGACGAAGACGACGCAGACGACGACCAGAACGCCTATATGACGCCGGCGACGACGACGATCCAGCCTTAGTGGGATGTGATGAACGCTGGATTCTGTGATAGCCCTGAGTTAGTGATGAGCTGGACCGAGCTCTAGTAGGATTCTGGTAAAACTGGATCGACTCGTAGTAGGGTTATTTTAGAGCTGGATCAAACTCTTATACATATTGTGAAATATTGTTGGGTCTATATTCGGTAGGATCCCATCAGAGTTGGATCCAGCCCTGATATGACTGCACTAGAGCTGGACCCAGGCGTAGTGGGCTTCTATCAGGGCTGGACTGGTTCCTAATGGGATTCTATGAGAGTTTCATCCAGCCCTGTTAGGGACCTGTTAGAGCTGGATCGAGCCAAAGTGGGATTTCATCAGCGCTGGGTCGAGCCCGGATCGGATTCTGTCAGAGCTGTTTTGATATTTAGATGGGTGTTTTTTAGAGTGGGATGGAGCCCTCGCAGGATAATGCCAGAGTTGGATCGAGACTGAGTAGGACTCCATTAGTATTGGCTTCAGCCCCATACGAATTTTATTGGACCTAGATCCAGCATTCGTAGGATTTCAGTGGAGCTGGATCGACCCCTCCGCAAGTTTGTTTCAGAGTTCACTGAGATCTGGATCCAACCCCAAAATGAATGTGTTCAAAATGGGCTGGGCCTGAGTAGGATTCCGGTAGAGCTGGATCCAGCCTTGGTGGGATTCTTCCAGATCTGGACTGCGCATTTCGAGGATTCGATTTGACTGTAATCGACCTTATTCGGATTCTGTTAGGATTGGATCCAGCCCTAGTAGTGAGATTATGTTAGTTTTGTATCGAGCCCTTGGTGGGACTCTATTCGGGGTGGATCGAGCCCGAATCTGTTTCCATCTGAGCTATCCATAATAGGATCCGGAGAAGGCTGGGTCGAAAACTCGATTGGCCTCTTGAGAAAGTTTTTATTGTTGGACGCAGACATGCGACGACTCTATTAGAGCTGGACCGAACCCTCGTAGGATTCGATTAGAACTGGGTCCATCCCTGAGGGAAACCTATGAGGACTAGAATTAGCTTCCGTTGGGGTCGACCCCCATACGAGGTTCTTGTGGAGCTGGTGAAGCATATTAGGATTCTATTCGAACTGGATCGAGCCGTGGTGGGATTCTATTCGAGCTCGATCCAGCCTTCTGATGGTTGCACTAAAATTGGATTGAACTTTAGTAGGACTGCGTTGGAACTGGACCCAGCCTTAGTAAAATTGTATGATCGGTGGATCGTGCATTTGTAGGCATCGATAGAAATCGATCGAGCCCTCATAGGAATTGATTAAAGCTGGATCCAGCCCCAGTGGCAGTATGTTATTAGAGCGCGAGCCCAAAATTCGTATTTTGCCACAGCTGGTTCGACCTTTAGTAGGATATGATTAGAGCTGGATCCAGCCCTATTAGGAATTTTGTTCGAGTTGGACCGAACCCTGGTAGTATTTCATTGGAGGTGGAGCGAACCGTACGAGGATCCCATTCGAGCTGGATCGAGAACCTTTTTAGCATTCTACCAGAATCGGCGCTTGGCGCGGGCGCCGGCGACAGGTGCACCACGGCCGCCGCTGACGTCGTCGCCGTCGTTGGCGTCGTCGTCGGCGTCTTCGTCGTCGTCGTCGTCGTCATCGTCGTGTTCGTCGTCGTTTTCGTCGTCTTCGTCGTCGTCGTCGTCGTTGTTGTCGGCGTCGTCGTCGTGTTCGTCGTGGTTGTCGTCGTTGTCGTCGTGGTCGCGGTCGTGGTCTTGGTCGTGGTCGTCGTCGTCGCCGCCGTCGTCGTCGTGGTCGTCGTCGTCGTCGTCGTCGTCGTCGTCGTCGTTGTCGTCGTCGTCGTCGTCGTCGTCGTCGTCGCCCGCGGGGGGGGTTGGGGGGCAATTTTCCCGGGACTTGGGGGGGTCCCTGGACCCTTCGATCCCGGGGGTGGTGGTCCAGAGCCGTCCGAGTACTTCTCTAGGGTTGGTAAGGGGTCCGGACCTCCCGGTTCTCTGCGGGGGGGAGAGCTCAACGGGGGTGGGGTTGTCCCCTGTGTGGCTTGGACCCTCTTTGGGGATGTTTTCACAGGGGGCGGGGCCCCGCCTCCTCCGCCTCCTCCGCCTCCTCCTCTTCCTCCTCCTCCTCCTCCTCCTCCTCCTCCTTGTTTCCGACCCCACTGTATATAGGAGTGTTTCAGGCCAGCGACGGTGGATCGCAGTCCCCTGGTCGTCTTGACGTCCTCTTGGGTTCTCTCGGGGCCCCTGGGCCGTCCTGGGGCGATATCCGTCCGATGTCAAGTGCCTCTTTGCGCGGTCTTGAGCTTTTTCATACGCCCAAGAGAAGACGAGGGTGCCATCCTCGTTCAAAATCCAATGTTCTATCAATGACTTTGGCCCCTCGGCGGGCTCCCGCGCGAAGCTCTCTCGGGGTGCATGTTGGGGCCTCCTGGGCCGCCTTCGGGCCATGTTGGGCCTCTCCCTTCCCTCCCTGGGGGCCCTCTCTGAGCCGCCCCGAAGCTAGCTGGGGCAGTCCTTCGGTTGGCTTGGACGGTCCTGCAGTGGTCTCGTCGGCACGCTCCATGGCCCCCCCCCTCTCGGAGCACGGGAGCAGGCCCCTGGGGGACGCTTTTCGGAGGCCCGCTTCGAGCCAGGGGGTCGGCCGTGTGAGAGGCCTGCAGCAGGCCTGCAGACAGCAGACAAGCACTCGAATTTCTGGCACGCCCGAGCGTGCTGCCGGCACGGTGGCGGATCGCCGAGGATCGAGGATCGAGGATTCTCTACCTCGGCGGCCACAACGGCGCTCGACTCTCGACCCTCGGATCGAGCATCTTCGATCTTGGATCCGAGCATCTTCGGGCATTTTGCATCCCAGATCCGAGGATCGCTCCGCTCGGGCCCAAGATAGAGGATGCTCGATCCGAGGATCGAGGGTCGAGCAGCGTTCCTCGTCGATCGTTCTCGTCGCCGTACTCGGGCCCAGGCCGCCCTCGCCGATCTTCCTTTTTCCCCCTTTACCTGGCCATTGCTGCGGTGAGAGCTGGGATTGAGGCTGGCACTGATCAGGAGGGGAAGAAACACACACACAATTAATCGTCGATTCCAAAGAAAATATAGGAAAATATGGGCAGTGGGGGGGAAGACAGAAACCCAGAAAATATGGGAAACCATGGGGAATCTTCTAATTTGTGTGTATTTATTTGTGCGTCCCAGGGCCCCTTCAACTGAGGCGTCAGCAGGATTCGTTTCCGGACCAGGACGGGAGGACCAGGCTGGGCCAGGAGTGCCGCCGGTGGTCCGGCGGGAACACCGCTCCGAGCTGAAGTGGGACCACGAGAATGCGAGCCAGGAGGGCCGTCGGAGGTCGAGGCGAGAGTTCTCTCCGTGAGCTCTGACCCTCAGGGCGGTTGGCACTGATGCGAAGTTCTGCGGGGGCTACAGCACCACAGCGAGCCGGGAAGGGGGCGGGCGCTGGGGCGGCCTAACATCAGGAGGGGAGAAAACACACAGACACAATTAATCGTCGATTCCCAAGAAAATATGGGAAAATATGGGAAGTGGGGGAGAAGACAAGAACCCAGAAAATATAGTAAAATATGGGGAATCTGTTTATTTGTGTGTATTTATTTGTGTGTCCTGGGGCCCCTTCATAACAACTCTTCTCGCAGCTTCGAGCGCGGTGGTCCGCAGCGCGAGGCGCGGAGACGCATCCGGTGTGGTTCCAGTCCAAGGCTCACAAGCGCCGAGTCTCGAGTCCAAGCTCCGACTTCGGGCATCTAGCAGTACGGTATGTTCGCGTCGTGTCGACCGGCGGCGACCCCGCAGCCGACGTTCAACGTTGAACGCCGACGGCGGCCCAGAATCGGTCGATGTTGAACGATCGGACGTTGCGGAGACGGCCGATCGTTCAAGGTTGAACGATCCAGCGCGGTGTCGGGAACCAACGCCGGGGTCGACACGACACGAACCTGCAGTTCCCTTGCCTATCTCTCCGTCATTCCCGCGAAGGTGTACGGAGTACTGCGGCACACACATTCACACACACACACACACTTCCCAAGACCAAGTCAAACATTCAAACATTGTTCTAACTGGGGGTGAGGGTCTAGGGCGCACATCCTCGGGGCTTGCAGCACATGGTGGCAGTGAGGTTGGCTTTGAATGGTGCATTCTGTCTCCTCCTCTTCCTCTTGTGGCTGTCCCCTTCTTCTTTCGCATCGCGCGCCTGGGAAAAGCAGCAGACTGCCCGATCCCATCACTAGAATTAGAATGTTAAGCTAGCCTTCTGGATGGCTTATGTATTGCATGCGAGGGCATGTTTTCATCTGCTTCCAGTTCCAAGCGGGACCAACCAAATCCTGGCGAGAGGCCCAACCTCATGAGGCCGAGAGTGCCGCGAAGCAAGCGAGAAGAAGGAGGGGGCGAGCAAGATCACGAATCGGCGCGCGCCTCCTGGCCGGCGGCGCCGTGCGAACACCGCCGCTGGGGATTTCGGGGGTCTGCGAATTGTGCGGGGGGTGTGCCGCACCGCGGGCGAGTGCGCCATGCGGGCCCTGGCACCGGGGCCCTTCGTGGAGGTGCGGCGCCGCGAACCGTGGTACGCAGGGGTGTGCCGCAACGAGGCGGCGGCGCCAGGAGGGCCCCGTCGGGTGGGCCTCCGTTGGAGCTCCCTCTGCGGGTGGACCACGAAACGTGCGAGGGGCGTGTCGCAATCGACCAGACGTGAGAGTTACCTTTCGCCGGAGTGACCTTTGGTGCGGGCACAGATGGGCCCCCAGATGGCCGAACGCGAAGCGGTAGCAGCGGCCAGCGCGCCTGGATTTGGCCTCCCCGCGGCCCCCCCAAAGCCGCGCACCAAAGGTCACTGTTACCCAGGGTCACTGTTACGTGTAGCCGACGCAATGGGGCGGCGACGCCATACGGACCCTGGCACTTGGGCCTCAGTTGGAGCTCCCTTATGGGGCCACGGAACGTGTGATAGGCGTGCCGAAATGGGCATGCGGAGAGCAGAGGCACGAATGGGAGAAGGGGAAGGAGGTGAGGAAGGACGTGGGGCGATTCAGTTTCAAACCGAGGGCACAAGATAGGATGCTTCAGAACGAGATCACCTGACAGATATGTCCGTGTTGCGATTCCCCCCCGCAGGGATCACAACACAATGCGAAGCTTGTGTGTTAAACTTCTGATGCTTAGCTCGAGCTGCTAGGGATACTCGGAGTCGGCAACGCCTACGGCGAGTCACCTCCGCCCCCTGCCTTCTGCTAGTGCCGGTGTGACCAATCGTTGGGCCAAAGCCTGGCCAAGCTGTTGGACGACGTGCTCCCTGGGGGCGTGCCCGCTTTGCCTGGGCAGCCGCCCGCGTTTCCGCGCAGGTTCTACGTTTTCAAGCCGACGTTGGAGCAGGGCAAGGAGGCCGTCGTCTCCAAGACCATGGGTTCGGGGGCTGGGGGGTAAGTTAGACATGATAAGCGGGATACCTCGGGTCCTGATGATGATCATGATCATGATCATGATCATGATGATGATGATGATGATGATGATGATGATGATGATGATGATGATGATGATGATGATGATGATGATGATGATGATGATGATGATGATGTCTTCTGCCGTGCAGAAGAGACCTGTCAGGGCCCAGGGGCCCTGGCACCGAGGGCCTCCCCGTGGTCGCGTGGTGGCCCTTCCACAGACGGCTCGATCTGCCCAGTGCAGTGGCTCCTGCTCGGGGCTGTGTGTGTGTGGGGGGGGGGGCGGGGGCGAGGAGGGTGGTGACGAGGACCGCTGGGGGATTCCGCGAGGCGCCCAGGGGGGGGAAGGCAGAGGGAGGGGAGACCCTCCCCGAAGGCCAGGCAGGCCGTCGGCCTTCCGAGGAGCTTCAGGGCCTTGCCCGAGGACAGAGGCGGGCGGAGGAGGAGGAGGAGGAGGAGGAGGAGGAGGAGGAGGAGGAGGAGCTCTGAGAAGCCCAGCCGCCTCCTGAGGAGGCCCCACCTCGCGTCCCTCCTCGGCGTGGTGGCAGCGAGGATCAGAGGCGACGATAGGGGCGAATAGCCCAGGGGAGAGCAGTGCATGTCTTCAGTATTCAGCTGCGCCGATGCTCGATGTCCTCGGAAAGGCTCCCGGGCGAATGCGTGTAGTGCCCGCCCCTGGGCTATTCGCCCCTATCGTCGCCGCCGAGAGGAGGGGGGGCGGGGAAGGGGAGGCGGGGGGGGGGGCGTCGCAGCGCCGCTCGCCGTCCAGCCCGTCGTCTCCAAGACTGGGGGGCTCGGGGAGGGGGGTGGGAGATGGTGGCGAAGATGGTGGGCGCTGGTGGCGATGGGGAAGGTCGTGAGCTGACCTTGCCCTCCAGCGATGCGAAGTCCAGGATCGTGCAAGCAGTGAGCATGGTGCAGCCTGCACAAGGATGGCGATGATGGTACGAGGAGGGGGAGGAGGAGGTGCAGGGACGCCCGCCTCGGTGTGCGCTGGGAGTCGCTCGTGGGCGCCCTGCTAAAGTGCGGCCTGCTTTATCCATGGCGCCGTCCTGCTCGCCGGCCGTCTCCAAGACCAGTGGAGGAAGATGGCGACGAGGATGCTGGATGCTGGTGACGACGCGCGCGCGGCGGCGAGGGCGGGTTGCGCATTCCGGTTCGCCCAGCAGGGGGGGGGGCTGTGATGAGTTTCAGAGCGGCCCCCTTGAGTGCATCCAATACAGTCGGGTCGCTGAAGAAGGAACTCTTTTCGTTGGGGAGGGGCTCCGCGTTCCTTAAGTGTTTCACAGCTTGCCTCAGGTTTTCCTCGTGTTTTCGATGGGGAATCGAAGTTTAACTTATGGAGAAGAGGGGCCTCGTTCCCTATTCAGGGTTCCTTAGGTCAACGCCCCGACTGTAATGTGTGCCGCGGCGGCGAGGCCTTACGTGATGAATTTCCCCCCCTCCCCCCCCCCGGGTGATGTCGTCGGCGATGCGGTGGCCCAGGGCCCTGCGCCGTGGCGGGCATCGCTGGGGGGCAGCGGCGCTGGCATCGTTCTGCCGCTGCGGGCTGCACCCGACCCTTCAGTTAGATCCGGCCTGTCCCCCTACAGGGGGATTTTCGACGAAAAATAAAAATATCCCAAACATAGTCAAAACAGAATCCAGAAATGGTCTGGGGACTATTTTTTTAGTCTTTGTTGACCCTTTTGGGGTATGTTGGGGTTATTTTTTTCCCGTCGAAAACCCCCCTGTAAGGAGACAGGCCCGACATAACCCTTGCGTTCGGGCGGTGTCCGAAGGCCTGGGTCTGGTTCGGGGTGTTGCCAGAAGTGCCCCTGGGCCAAGGTTTAAGTCGGGCCTGTCCCTCTACAGGAGGAAAATTCAAAAATAGTTTAAACAAAAATAGTCAGAGGACCATTGTTTGCCAATTTTCGAACATGTTTGGAGCATTTTTGGGGTATTTACAATTTTTCGTCCAAAATCCCCCTGTAGGGGACAGGCCCGACCTAAGTCAAGGTGCCCCCAGAATTCTCGGGGCAGCCCGAGCGGCCTCCGGAGCACCCCCCACGAGGAGCGGAGGGCCCCATGGGGCTCTCCAGAGTGGAGCGAGAAGCTGGGGGCACCTTGGGCCGGGGGTACTCCTAGCAACACCCGACTGGTGGACCACCATGCAGCGTGGCCAAGAGGTTGCGAATCGGGGGAGAAAAAGATACGGATACGTGTTGTCCACCTTCGTTTTCGGCCTTTCCTGGTCCTCCTGGGGAATCCTCGTTGTCACCGCTGGATTCGCCTCGAAATTCTGGTCAGAACGCACCCCAAGAGAGGTCCGGGGACAACACGTATCCGTATCTTTCCGCCCCCCAAGCGAAGGCCTTACGGCCAGCGCCGCCGCCCCGGAAGGGGGACGGCGACGACGACGATGACGGCGACGCCTGCGGACTGCTCCAGCGCCCCCAAGATCACCCGAAGGTGGCCCAAGAGGGCCTCACAAGGCGCCGGTGCTCCCTGCTGTGGCTGCTTGGGTGGATCGAACACAGAAGTGCCCTAGGCCCTGCTTTGTGTGTGTGTGCGCGTGTGTGTGTGTGTGCGTGTGTGCGTGTGTGTGTGTGTGTGCGTGTGTGTGTGTGTGTCTGTGTGTGTGCGTGTCCGTGTGTGTGCGTGTCCGTGTGTGTGCGCGTCCGTGTGTGTGCGTGTCCGTGTGTGTGCGTGTCCGTGTGTGTGTGTGTGTGTCTGTGTCTGTGTCTCTGTGTCTGTGTCTGTGTCTGTGTCTGTGTCTGTGTCTGTGTCTGTGTCTGTATGTGTGTGTGTGTGTGTGTCTGTGTCTTTGTCTGTGTCTGTGTCTGTGTCTGTGTCTATGTGGGTGTGTCTGTGTCTGTGTCTGTGTCTGTGTCTGTGTCTGTGTCTGTGTCTGTGTCTGTGTCTGTGTCTGTGTGTGTGCGGGGGGGGCTCTCAGAGGAGCGCGGTGCGGTCTTCGGCGGCGCGCCCAGGGGAGAAGGCTGAGGGGTGGTGCCTGGTCAGCGAAGGGGGTGCAGTATTTCACACACCTGCTTAGAAGCTTTTTTAAACCTTCGCTGAGCACAGGGGCGGCTTCTCCGCAGGCCGGGGGTCGGAGGGCTTCTGAGAAGCCCCGCCGCCTTCTCCTGGCATCGCTCGGACGTGTGCATTTTTTCGCGGCGAGAACCATTGAGGACGATCCTGGACCATCGAGCAAGACAAAACACGCACGAAACCGAAAAATGCACGGGAAATGGACGTCCGAGCGATAGCGAGTTCTGAGAGTGCCTGTTTTCTTCAGCGCGCCGTCGAGTCGTCAGTTTGGTGTTCCTTCACTGGCCAGGGCATCTCCAAGGCGTGTCTGCCTCCTTGCCAGTCAGGCGAGCAAAGGGTCAGGGGCGGCCTGACCGATCCCTAGCAAATCATCCCCGTCTGTGGCGAGCCCCTCGCCTTGCCCCAAGGCGTGCGCATGTGGCTGGAGGGAGGCTTGAGGGGCGAGGGGGACGTCACGGAAGGGGATGGTTTGCTGGGGGTCGGTGAGGCCACGCCCGAAAGGGCTTGGGCGGGCACAAAGAAGGAGGAAGGGGAGAGGCAAAGGCGACCGCGGCGCAACCGCAGACACAGGGCCAGCGCATTGCTTTTTCAACTCCGAACCTTTCGATCTCTTCCTGGGGACTGTCATGGCGCCAACATCGCAGAGCGGATCTCGTTCGAAGAACAATGGGATGGGCCCGGATTGTCCCGGAGAATTTCGCTTCGGATTTCGAATTGAATTTCGTGCGGCTTGTGATGACCAGGAATGAAGACTACAAAAAATCCACGTGGAATTCGTTTCGTTTTTCTTCGGGGTCTTGCACTGACAGAAATCCACGCAGAAATCCGCTGCAGCACTTCTGCAAGGTCGGTGCAGCGAGGACTGGACTGCTGTCTCTGCACTTGTTGCTGATGGTCCGAACCCCAGGGGCTCCTGGAGGCCAAAATCGGGCCGGACGAAAGGGGGGGATTGGGACGAAAGGGGGGGATTGGGAATCGGGAGCCTTGAGACGGGGGTCAATGCAAACGGGGGTCAGCCAGGGCACCAGATCCTGCAGGATCCTGCGAAGACCCCCTCTGGCTGACCCGGCTTAGCGAGCCGCTCGTGGCCGCGAGGCGGCTGCGCATATTGGCTGACCCGGGTTTGCGAAGATCTGCGTTGCAGTGTTTTTTTTTTTTCCTGCATTCCAGTTTTTGGTTTCCCGCTGACCCGAAGATCCCCGAGGGAAGGGGGGGGGTACGAAATTTGTCGCATGCAGCTGGTTTCGGCCTCACCGAGGGGCCCATTCCTCGATACATAGCCGCCTCTGGCGCCGGGCGGCGCCGGGAAAATCGGCTAGGTGAGCTGATTCTCAAAATCCCCCTTTGCTGTACAGTCGGGCCGCTGAAGAAGGAACCCTTTTCGTTGGGGAGGGGCTGGGTGTTCCTTGATTGTGCCACACCTTGCCACAGATTTTCCTGAAGCTTTCGACGGGAAGTCGGAGTTTCACTTGTGGAAGAAGAGGGGCCTCGTTCCTTATGTAGGGTTCCTTAGGTCAGCGCCTCGACTGTATCCCCCCCTCTCGCCCGACCCGACAGAGCAAAGGAAGAGTCCAGTCGTCGAGCAGAGCCCGGCGTCGGAGTGCCGGAGCTTGCGCGCGGAGGCTCGCCGCGCCGCCTCGCGCGCGCGCGGGGGGGCGCGGGAGGCTCCAAGCTCGTCAAGATGGTGTACTCGAAGGGGGGCGGCAGCGAGATCATCGACACCACGGAGGAGGAGCCCCGCCGGCAAGAGTGACGTCGGGCCTGTCCTTTTCTACAGGGGGCACATTCTCGAAAGTAGCCCCAAAAGAATAGTCCGGGTACTATTTTTGGAGTATCTTTGGGCATCTTTTGGGGTACTTTTGCATTCTTCGCCCAAAATCCCCCTGTATAGGGGGGACAGGCCCGACTTAAGGCATCACACGTATTCGCCCGGGAGCCTCTTCGAAGACATAGAGCATCGGCGCAGCTGAATACATGCACTGCTCTCCCCTGGGCTATTCGCCCCTGTCGTCGCCTCTGATCCTCGTAGCCACCACGCCGAGGAGGGACGCGAGGTGGGGCCTCCTCAGGAGGCGGCTGGGCTTCTCAGAGCTCCTCCTCCTCCTCCTCCTCGTCCTCCTCCTCCTCCTCCTCCTCCTCCTCCGCCCTCCGCCCTTCTGAGGAGCCGCCTCTGTCTTCGGGCAAGGCCCTGAAGCTCCTCAGAAGGCCGACGGCCTGCCGGGCCCGAGCGGGGAGCCCGCCCGCCCACGGGGTCCACCCGGGGCTGCAGCACGCGCGGGTGGCGCGGGGTGGTGCGCCGGGCCAGCCGCGCGCGTCGCCCGAGGAGGCACGGCACACCTGCAGCTGCACGGGCGAAGGGGGGCTTTCTGCAGACGTGTCCTTCGGGCCTCCGCGCCGCGCACATTCGTCTTTAGGGGGCCACAGGCGAACCCTACCCCTACCCCCCACGATTTCTGAGGAGGAGGGTGGGGTTCACTTCGTTCGGGAGCTCCCGAGCGAAGTGAACCCCACCCTCCCCCTCAGAAATCGTGGGGGGTAGGGGTAGGGTTCGCCTCTAGCCCCCTAGTCTTGGCATCAAGTCGGGCCTGTCTCTCTACAGGGGGAATCTTCAAACATAAGAAAACAATAGTCAGGGGACTATGTTTGAGTATTTTTGGGCATCTTTGGGGTAGTTGTTTGAGTATTTTTGGTTTTTCGTCGAAAATCCCCCTGTAGGGGGACATGCCCGACCTAATTTTGGCAGCTTGCAACTGGGAGGGGGAGGAGGAGGAGGAGGAGGAGGAGGAGGAGGAGGAGGAGGAGGAGGAGGAGGAGGAGGAGGAGGAGGAGGAGCAGAAGGAGAACGAGGAGGAGGAGGAGGAGGAGGAGGAGGAGGAGAAGGAGGAGGAGGAGGAGGAGGAGGAGGAGGAAGAGAGTAGGAGGAGGAGGAGGCCCAGAGAGGGCTCCCTCTATCGCCACCACTCTGCCCCGCCCCGCTGGTCTCGCGCCGCGGGATCTGCTGCCGCAAGGCTGGAATGCCCCGCCCCGTTCCCTGTCACTCCTGCACCATCGGGCTGTCCAAGCTTCTTGGCCACTGTCGTCCAGTCCAGCCGCAGCGTCCTGCAGCAGCGCACCGCGGCCGCATCCTCACGCCTTTCCGTTGGCACTCGCCGAGGCGGCCGTCTCGGCTCGAGCGCACGCTGCGCGGTGCCAAGAGAACGGGGAGGCCCAGAGCGGACGGATGCTGTTTTTGGTGGTGGTGATGATGACGACGGTGATGGTGATGGTGATCGTGGTGGTGGTGGTGATGATGCTGACGACGATGACGATGACGATGACGATGATGGTGATGATGATGATGCTGATGATGATGATGGTGATGATGATGGTGATGATGATGATGCTGATGCTGAGGATGATGATGATGATGCTGCTGCTGATGATGATGATGATGATGATGATGATGATGATGGTGATGGTGATGGTGATGATGATGCTGATGATGATGATGATGATGATGATGATGATGATGCTGGTGATGCTGATGATGATGGTAATGATGGTGATGATGGTGATGATGGTGATGACGATGGTGATGACGATGGTGAGGGTGATGGTGATGGTGATGGTGACTGTGCTCAGGACGACCACGACCACGACCTCGACCACGACGACGACGACGTGGTCAGGCTGGTCAGCGATCCGCCCCTTCATCAGGCCGGCCTGGCTCTTCCAGCGCCGAGGGGATTCGACGATCGAGGGCGAGCCGAGCCTCTGCCCCGCGTCGGGGAAGGCCATCGCGAACTGCTCAAGGTCGTGGAGCAGCATCTGCGCCGACGGGGGCTTCAGGAGAGCCTCGACCATCATCCGGACTGACCACCTTCGGTGCTGTCCTGAAGTGGGGCGCGAGCTGGGAGAGCCTCTGGGCCTTGACCAGCGACTCGAGGAGCGAGGCGTGCACCTTCTGCTTGACCTCCTCGTCGGCGGCCGTGCCGGGGGCCCCGTAGCACATGTCGCCCGAGATTATCCAGAGGACGTGAGGGTGCTGAGCAGTCGTGCTGGTCATGGCTTGAGGATCGTCTCCACGCCATGCTGATATTTTACAGTGGCACTTCGAGAGATCCAAGTTTGTAGCCAAAGTCGACTGCGTGGAACACCGTAGAGAGCTACATCCGAACACCTGCACCGCTAGGGGGCGTAGTGTTGCTGGGTCTTGAACGTCTTTTGCTTGGCATGTATGATGTGCTGGCCAGATGCTTGCAACGTGGTGACGAGGTGCAGGAAGTCTCAATTGTGTGAAAACAATGTAAAGAACTCAAGTGTGATATAACATACCCAGTGTGATTTAACAACTTAAGTGCGCGCGTGTGTGTGTGAGACAAAAAACTGTGATTGGGAAACTCAAGAGTGATACCCAAAAAACAAGTGTGATAGCAAGCTTGAGCCGAGCATCGTCGGAACAACTTCGAGCTCAAGTTCTTCGGTTGATCGACAGACCGACCGGCCCATGGAGAGGAAACGCAGCCTCCAGGTCGTGCGGGAGGCCTGGCCGTACATTCGCGCCTAGGTGGCAGATTGTCCAGGGCCCGCGTTGATTACGAAGCCGACCTCGCGGAAGTCTTCGGTGATAATATCCACTGTAAGGTCCATTATGGCGAGCAGCTCCTGAGGGAAATCGGCCAGGAACTCGAATGTCACGCCATCGGCAGATTGCTCGTCGTTGGGAGCCTGCTGCGCGGTGACGTTTGCGAGCTGTTGTCGAAATCGGTTGCCACGGGTGCGGATGCGCGTGTAGACATAGTCATGCTCGGTTGGATGGTGCTCTCCTGGAGTCGGTGCCGCGCTCGTTCGAGGGCCAGCCCGAACTATGATGTATGCGCCGCGCCGGGTCGACAGCCCTGACGTGCGCCACGGTTCGCGGCGACCACGGGGCATGGTTCATCTCGAGCGTGGAATCACGTACCGGAGTGGATGTCAGCAACCCTCGCGGTGGCGTGTTCGTCCATGCCCGCCGCGCGTAGGAGCGAGGGGTTGTCCTGCAGGTAGCGCTGAGTCTCGTCGGCCACGTCACACGCGATGCCTAGCTCAAGCAGTTGATCCGCTAGCATGTGTAGCTGGTGGTGACCAGCTCCGTAGAAGTACTCTGGATGACGCTGATGATTTGATGATGATGACGATGATGATTATGATGATGATGGTGATGATGATAACGATGGTGAGTTTGTTGATGACGATGATGCTGATGATGATAATAATGACGATCATGATGATCATTATGCTTATGATGACCATGATGGTCATGAGTGCTATGCTGATTGCGATGATGGTGGTGGTTATGTTGATGATGGTAGTTGTAGAAGTGATGATGCACAGTGACGACTGGTTTGATGATGATGTTGCTTATGATGTTGTTGGTGGTGATTTTCATGATAGTGATGATGATGATTATGATGATGATGTTGATTATGTTGTTGGTGGTGATTTTCATGATGGCGATGCTGCTTACGAGTATGATGATGCTGATGACGATGGTGCTGATGATGATGATGATGATGATGATGATGATGCTGATTATGATGATGATGATGATGATGATGATGATGATGATGATGATGATGATGATGATGATGATGATGATGATGATGATGATGATGATGATGATGATGATATTGATGATGATGGTGATGGTGATCATGATGGTGATGGGGGAGGTAGTGGTTTTGGTGATGGTGGTGGTGAGGAGGAGGAGGAGGAGGAGGAGGAGGAGATGGAAGAGGAGGAGGAGGAAGAGGAGGAGGAGAAGGAGGAGGAGGAGGAGGAGTACGACGACGACGACGACCAGGCCGATGCGGATCTCTCCCCGTCCCCGTCATAGAGGGTAGAGGGCGAGGAGGATGGGGACAAAGAGGGGGGAACAGGAGGGGGAGGCGGGAGGGAGAAGGAGGAGAGGAGGCACAGTGGATGAGGAGGGGGCCCTGCGAGCGAGGGAAGGGATGAGGGAACGAGGGAGGAGGGCAAGGAAGAGAAGGCGAAGGAGGAGGTGGGGGAGTCCGAGAGAGCAGGAAGATGAGGACTCAATGAGGACTCGGACGACAACGAGGACGAGGAGGATCCCCCCCGTCCTGGAGGCCTCCAGAGGAGTGATGATTCACAAACGCGCGCGCCCTGCAACCGACCCCCCCCCTGCCACCGCCACGAAATACCTACCGCCCACCCATGTCCACACACACATGTGATCTGGTCGTGCCTCCTCCCCATCCCCCCCCCCTCCCTCCCTCCCTGCTCCCCCTCCCTTCCCCCCGCACCTCTGTCGCCGTCCTCGCCGGAGGAGCGCAACACCTGGGCCTCCACGCCGGAGGAGGCGGGCGCGCGGGAAGGGAGGGGAGGGGCGATGGCGCAGGAGGCGGAGCCGCGCACGCGACGGCGCCGCCCGCCCGCTGGGCCCGCGCGCTCTGTCGCCATGGGGCACGGAGGGGCGCGTTCGTCGAGGAGTGTGCCCAGGAGGCTTCGGACCCTGGAGGGTCGTCTATCCTCTGGTTACCGGCCTCGAACTTATCCCTATCCCTAAGATCGACACGCCCAAAGGCGATGACAATCTTATTAGGGGTTCGCCCTCCAAAAAATAAGGGAATCCCTGGGATTGGCATCGTGATGAGGAGATGCCCAGCATAGGGACAGGGATGTGTTCCGGGCTGGTACTCTGGTGAGGGCGGCTGTGATGCGGTCAGCAGCTTCGACCCAGCCTGTCGCGCCGCCGGCTCTGGCCCACCACGCCCTCCGCGCGGCAGGCGATGCACTTCCTCGTTTCCGGGCCTCGGCGTCCAGGGCCTATCCGCCCCGCCCGCCCCGCGGAGCGGAGCGGCGCGCTACCCGCTCGCAGGGCGCAGCGTGTCGCTGGGGCCGCCGCCGCCAGCTATCCCGAAGTAAGCATCCTGACCGCAAGGAAGGCGCCCATGGAGGCCTCAGACCCTGGAGGCGTCCTTATCTGCGGCTGTGATCTCCCAGGCCTCCCAGATGGGGGTCCGAGCAGATGGGGCCGGAGGATCGCGCCGCATCGCCAAGGCAGCACCAGGGTCGGAGGGTCGCGCCGCATCGCCGATGCATCACTGCTGCGGTTCCATGTGGAGCCCGATTTCTCTCCGCGCCGACGGCGCCGATGCACCGCCGGCGTCGCGGATGCATCGCCGATGCATCGGTGATGTATCGACGACGCGGCGCGATCTTCCGACCCCATCTGGGAGGCCTCTAGCTACCCATGGCCAAGCCTCAATTGGAGAGCCATCGGCTTCCAGACCTTGGGCCCATTATACATCCAGTGGGTCCTAATCCAATGCCCTCGCTGGAAGTCCTGAGGGACGCGGGGCCGGAGTTTTTTTCTCCACCGCAAATTCTTATCCAGGAAACATCAGAAAATCATCTTCTGGAATCGTGTGTCCACGCATGGTCTCGCAATCGAGGGTTCTTGCCAGGGTATGCGTCGAGACTCGAATGCAGGACTCACGGTGGCCGGAGCCAGTCGGCGGGAATGCCGAGCGGATCCTTCCCGCGCTCGGGCTCCGGGGGCCGTTGCAGGACCGTCCGAAAACGACGCAGGAGGAGGCGCTGATCGGGGGGGAGGCCCCGGGTGGGTATCGTATCGTTTATCCGATCTCGGGAGCCTCGGGACGGGGGTCAATGCAAACGGGGGTCAGCCAGGGCACCGGATCCTGCAGGATCCTGCGAAGACCCCCCCTGGCTGACCCGGGTCAGCGAGCTGCTCGTGGCCGCGAGGCGGCCGCGCATATTGGCTGACCCGGGTTCGCGAAGACCTGCGTTGCAGTTTTTTTTTTTTTCCTGTATTGCAGTTTTTGGTTTCCTGCTGACCCGGGTCTGGATTGACCCGGGTCAGAAGATCCCCGACGATCCCCATCCCCAGCGGCGTGGCCTGGGCCCCCCTGGCCGATTTACCCCCCCTACGTAGGTGGGGCTATTGGCCGTTGCCTTCGGGTCTCGAGGGGTGTATCCCCAACTGGGGGGGTAATTCGGTGGGGGTCTCGAAGGGGAAGGGGATGGGGATGGGGATCGGATAAACGACACCGACCGGGGTCCAAGGCCCGTTCCCTTCAAGGTCCGCTCTCTTCACCACGCCAATCCCAAGCCTCGGGCAAGGGGGGGGGGCAGGAGGGAGGCGAGAAAGAGGAGGCGGAGGAGGAGGAGGAGGAGGAGGAGAGACGAGGAGGGACGAGGAGGAGGAAGCCCAGGTCACGGAGCTCGCGAAGATCGCAATGAAGATCGAGAAGCACTACGGCCGCCCCATGGACATCGAGTGGTGCAAGGACCACTTCTCCCCTTCTCCTTTTTCCCCTCTCCCCTCCCCCTCCTCTTCCCCCGTGTCCTCCTCCTCCTGCTCCTCTTGGTCCCCCTGCTTCGCCTACTCTCACTCCTTCAACCCCTCTCCTCTACATCCTCCTCATCCTCCCTGGCTCACTCGAACGTTTCCTGATCTTGACTTGCCGCCGCCGTTCTGTCTTCCCGATGGCCTTCCCGTGCCCGTGTTATCCCGTGTCTACCCGCGTTATCGCCTTGTGCTTGGCGAGGAAACCCATCTTGTCACCCCACCTTGGACGACTCTACTTGGCAGCGGAGCACACAATTGCCTGCGACGTATTGATGACTCCTTTCGTCTCCTGTGTTATGCTGGCGCTCTCCATCGTGTCATGGATCTCGCTCTTCGCCGAGAAAATCGTGATGTCCACTGTGCTATCGGATGATTTTCAACCCAAACAGGCTAGATGGTGTGGAGACCGTCATGGCGATGACGGCTGGGGAGGACCACGAGGGCAGCTGGCATCGGTAGATCGCCAGTGCATCTTCAGTCGGCCTATCCCGCCACCGTGCTCGGTCTGTGGGTTGGAGTCTTCTTGTAAGTCTCTCGTGGCGTCTGGGCATGTCTCCTGGGGGCTTCTTGGAGGCCTCTTGAGACCTCTTGGGGGCCTCTGGGGGCCGCTTAGGGGATTTGGAAGCGGATGACACAACGGAGGAGCACTTAGTAGCAGGAAGAGGCGGTGGAGATGAGGAGTAGGAAGAGAAGGGTTCAGATAACCTGGCGGAGTATGAGGAGGCAGGAGGAAGGACTGGGGCTGGTCGGGGGGGGGCTCAAGATCTTCGAAGAGTTTATCTTGAAGCAGGTTCGTTGTTACTTGATGAGCGGGGGGTATAATTCAAGATACGTGTTTTCTGGCACACGCCGTCTAGCACAACGCACAGTGATTCAAATTGGCTTCCTCTGGCCCCTGGACGCAGCGCTTCTCAGTCACTACTGCTTACCTCACCACCCACCAAACCACCCCAACCCAACCCGAAGGCTCAGATTTACCATCGATTTCCAGTTGGGGGGGGGTCGGGAAACATCGAAAAAACACATGTGGAACCCTTACCCCCCCCAACCCGAAATTCGGGTCTTCAGGTTGGGTTGGGGTGGTCTGGTAGGTAGTCATTACCGCGGGAGGCGTTAAGAAATTATTCAGACGGCGCGCGCTGGTATATTGCGAAGGCCTTACAGCCAGTGCAGCCGAACCTGAAGCCGCGGGACCTCCCCCAGGACCCCCGCTGGCGACCCCACTTGGGACCCCGCGGCCCGCGGAAGCGCTGTTCTGACACGTGACACCCCCCCTTCGGGTCGGGCGAAAGGGGGGGATTGGGAAAGGGGGGGTTACGAAATTTGCTGCATGCAGCTGGTTTCGGCCTTACCGAGGAGCCCATTCCTCGATACATAGCCGCCTCCGGCGCCGGGAGGCGCCGGGAAAATCAGCTACGTGAGCTGATTCTCAAACCCCCCCTGTTGCTATCCCCCCCTTTCGCCCGACCCGACCCCTGCACCCCCACCCCCCGGCAGGGAAGGGTTCAAGGGAAGGGGCTTGCTTTTGACTCGAATACGACGTTCCTTTTCTTTGTCCCTCCATTTAAGTTTCCTTGGGGCTTGGGAGGGCTTTGAACCACCATTCGGACGGCACGCGCCAGTGCATTCTGTCTTCTAAGCGTAGGGCTCGTGGACAACGGTTAACAGCATCTTTCGTGAATGCGACCGCCAGGACGCTGACGACGGGAAGCTGTACATCGTGCAGGCTGGTGTTGCGGTTTCCTTGAATTCCCTGAGCTGCTCCATCTATGTGTTTTCGATGTTCCGTAATTCACCCGATGTCACGACGCCCCGTCCTTGCTGGACATGCTGGTGCCCTTTGACCATTCATGTCCTGTGCACCTTCCTCCTTCCTCCTCTTGCTCCTCTCGCCGACTCCGGCTCGCAGGTTCCGACTCCCGCTCCCGCATTCCACCCACTTAGCGACCAGCCGGCTTGCTACAGTCGGCCCAGATTGTCGGGTCGACCCTGCCAAGTCAAGGGCACCCTCCTGTCCTGCGCCTCGCGACCCGTGCCTCCTGCATTCCTATGGCAGTGTGGCCCTCGGAAGGGTCTTGTGTCCTCTCGCCCATCTTGGGCCACTTTCGTTGGCCGCGCCCCGCTCGAAAAGCTTCGAGATGGGCGTCCGAGGCCCTTGCATCCTTACCGCACACCCTTACTATACGGGCTGACGGTCACCCACGCCCCCACGAAGCGCATGCTCGCAACCCGCCCGGCTCCAGGCTGCCCGTGCGCGCAGCCCCGGGGAGGCGGCCTGCCGCCTCGCCTCCTCCCGGTCGCGACATCTGTGCACCGCACGGCCCTGCCGACCTCCGCTCCGCTCGATCGTCGCGAGCCCCCCCCCTCCTCGTGCTCGTGGGGGCCCCCTCCTCGAAGAGGAAACCGCGGCATGTCCTCTCGCGTGTCCTGCCCGATCGGGTCCGACTGTGAGGTCAGTTCGCACCTTCGCTGCTGAGATTGCGGCCTCCACGCCACTCCCTGCATGCGCTCGGGCGGGCTCCCTAGCAGAGCGCGCACGCCTGCGGCGGTCGTCCCGTCGCGTCTACCCGAGGGAAGAAGCACGCTGACCATGACCAGCATGTCGCGGGCTCCTGTCGACGCCCATCTTGGTTACAGTGGGGGCGCGCATCAAGAAGCCATATGTTTTTTCGTCAGGGTACCGAAGGTTTCTTCGCTCCGCGCGCTGCGCGGTGACTCCCCGCGGCCGTCCAAGAAGCTGCTGCGTTCAGGGTGTTCTGGGTTTCCCCTCAGATGCACCTCGCGAGCGGGTTTTCAGGGTTGGGTTTCTTGCGAGGGTTTCTTGCGGCCGCGCCCGCACTGTATGGTTCATGTCGGCCGTTGCCGATTCGCGAGGGCGATCCACGAATGGACGCTGACCAAGATGTACGATGACCAAGATCGACAACGACGCTTCGGTGTTCAGTCTTGGTCCTGGTCAACTTTTGTCCCCTCCATTTCCACTCGGCCCATCCCCTCCCCGCTCCCCCCTCTCAGCCGCCTCACATCTTCTCACCTCGGGCGCGCCGCCAGAACAGCCCTCGCTTTTCCCTCCCGACGGAGGCACGCCCCGAGACGGTGGCGTCGCGCCAGTCCAAGAACGTGCTGGAGACCTACTCCATGGACGAGAAGGGCAAGGCCTCCGCCCATAGCCCCTGCGCCGCGAGAGAGATAGCGTCGAGGCGGCGTGCCTTCTGTCCCGAATTCCGAGCCGGGAGCAAGCATGCCGTCTCGACGTATGCCTAGGTCGAATGAGTCGTCCTGATAATTGTACCTATACGACCACCCTGCGGGTGATAAGGAGGTTTGGAGGGGGAGGATCCCAGCAATGGGCAACAGTTGTGATTGTTGTTGTGACGATGCCAGTGGAGAGTGTTGCGTTGCCGCTCGCTCTTGGGAGCGTCGGCCAATGAGCCGTCCTGACCATTGCACGCTGCTCTTGGCTGCTGCCGGGGAGCGCGTCGCGCTCCGCGTCCCAGCTGGCCAGACGGGTGCCCTCCTAGCTCTCGGCCTCCGGCGCGCCCGCTCCGGGCGCCGGGGCCCGGGAGCAAGCGGCGGGGGATAGACGCAGATGCCCCTTGTGACGAACGAACAACACACACCCATACCCATAAGGAGGTCCTTGGGAGGAGGACTGGCTATGGGTATGGGTGCGGGTTGTCGGACCCTGGAGAACGCTCCCGTTCGAGCGGGGACCCCCATCCGACAACACGCACCCATAGCCCTCTCCGATCCCCCTATGGGGGTATGGGTGTGTGTTGTTGGTTCGTCACCTTGGGCGGGTTCGAGAGAGTTCGAGAGCCCAAGACACGAAGGAGTCATGACGTCGGATGTCTGGGCATGGCGATATTGAGCTCATCTCCGCTCTGACGTGACATCCCAGGCATCGCGAACACGTCACGACTGAGCGTCTTTGGCCCACTTCGTGTGTGCGCGGAGCCCTGGCGGATCGAGCTGGCTGGCTGGAGAGATCTCACGGAAAGCTGTGGTCGAGGGTCGAGGGTTCTGGTCGTGCTTGTTTACGACGTTGTGAATGATTCTAGGCGCTACGCATAACCCCACCAGCCCATTCAGAAACGATGCCCAGACGAGTTGCCCTGATCAGGGATGTGGAGGAGGATGCTATGGAGCTAAGAGGGCTGTGTAAGACGTCGTACCCCAAGAGTGGGAGGATGGAGGAGGAACCGGAGGAGGTGCAGCGCCCGCCGCCCTGGCAGTGCGAAGTCGGCCGGGAGCGGCTGTCGCAGTTTTGCTTCCCCCTCGGTTTGGGCCAGGGGGCTGCGGCCCGCAGGCGGGAGGGGACCAGAGGGCCCGAAGCGATTCGGACCAGGAGGAGGAACACGAGGAGGAGGAGGAGCCGGAGGAGGAGGAGGAGGAGGAGGACGAGGAGGAGGAGGAGGAGGAGGGAGGACGAGGAGGATGCAGGAGAAGGAGGAGGAGGAGGAGGAGGAGGAGGCAGGAGAAGGAGGGAGGAGGGAGGAGGAACAGGCGAATGAGGAAGAGGAGTTACGGAGTTACGGATATTGCGACCCTGTCGGTTACGATTATAAGCTTCGCCCGCTCAGAGGAACTCGGAGAGATTGCGAAGCAATATGTACATGGGCACTCCACCCCCTGACCACGACGGAGGCCGCGATGACCAGGAAGCCCCGCACCAGGACAGAGTAGCCGTTCACCATATTGCGCGAGACGCTCATGTCCCTCCAGCTGTCAATGTCCAGGGGCGAGATGAGCCCGAAAACAAAGCGAAATTAAACCGCAAGAGCGCCTCTGCTATCAAACAAACAGCGAATATACAGTCCCACAAACAAGAATAAGCAACCACATATGCTTGCTTACCCCGTGGGCCTGGCCCAGGCTCAGCCGAACTATAACCAAGCCCCCTTCGATGCCGTCCGTGAAGAAGAACCCGACTCTGGCATTGGCCCGAACAAAATGCCCGAGCGACAAACAAATCCACCCTTCTCCTCCAACAGCGCGACGACCCAGAACAGGAAGCCGAGTACACGAAGGTGAAGGTGTGGCCGAAAGACTTTAACTCTGCTTGCAATCCGCCGATCCGCTCGTGCAATAGCGCACCCACGTCCGCGACAGCACCTCCAGCGCAAGCATCCGTGCAAGGGGGCAGCGATGAGGGGGACGAAGCCGCGCCCCTCCGCCAGGGGGACGAACCCACGCCTGCGACGCTCTCTTGTGCCTCACGACCCGCCTGACCGCCAGGGACTCCAGCGTCAGGCCGCACTGCTGGCTCCGCAGCCGCCTCCACCGCGTCTGGGGCAGATACCCCCCGCAGGGGCCCCGCGGGAGCCACGACACCAAGATGCGCGGCGGCGCCAGTCACACGGCCAACCGGAGAATCACCGCCTCCTCCAAGCTGCTCCTGCTCGGGGTCGGGGTCGATCACATCGGCCTCAGCCTGCGCCGCACGGCTGCTGGCCCGTGTCTGGCTAGCCGCGGGGCGTGCGTTGAACCAGAAACAGACCTCCGCGCGGCCGTCGGAGAAGCGGTGGCCGCGGTCCACCACGACAGCGTATCCAGCCTGCTCCTCGAGGGCCGACAGGGCGCTGAGAAGCACGACCCGCGCCGTGGGCGACGTACGCGGCCGCGCTGGGTCGAGGACCACCTTGACCTGACCGCGGCCCTCGATGGCGGCGGCTCCGAAGGTGAGGTGCGCGGCGATTCCAGCGACGATATGATCGCGCAGCCGACGGAGGCGCGCATGGACCACCATGGCCCGAGGGAAGCGCAGGGGCGCTGAGGAAGTAGCGGAACAAGCAAGGGCTCGAGCGAAAGGTTACTGAATGAGGAAGAGGAGGAGGAGGAGGAGGAGGAGGAGGAGGAGGAGGAGGAGGAGGAGGAGGAGGAGGAGGAGAGAGGAGGAGGGAGGAGGAGGAGGAGGAGGAGGAGGAGGGACGAGGAGGACGAGGAGGACGAGGAGAGGAGGAGGAGGAGGAGGAGGAGGAGGGAGGAGGAGCAGCAGCAGGAGGAGGAGGAGGAGGAGGAGGAGGAGGAGGAGGAGGAGGAGGAGAGGAGGGAGGAGGAGGAGGAGAGGAGGAGGAGAGGAGGAGGAGGAGGAGGAGGAGGAGGAGGAGGAGGAGGAGGGCTGGCAAGAGGAGGAGGAGGAGGATGATGATGAGGAGGAGGAGGAGGAGGAGGAGGAGGAGGGCCAGCAGGCGGATGAGGGGGAGCCCTTGCATCCTTGCAGCGGGGGCCCATGCCACGAAACGCCCTGCCTGCCTCCAGGGTGCCCTTGGTTTCTTGGGTTTCGATCGTCTCGATATGGAAAAAGCGCGACGTCCCCACACCAGAAGGCCATGGACGTCCTGGGGGCTCAGGGTTGGGCTTCTCTTGTGGAAGGTTGCTCGTGGTCGAGCCCCTGCTGCATCCTGTGTCCTCACCATACCGTGAAGTCGGGCCTGTCCCTCTGCAGGAGGAATATCCCAGGATAGTTGAAAAATAGTCTGGGGACCAATTATTGACTATTTTTGAGCATTTTCGGGGCATTGTTTGATTATTTTGTTCGCCCAGCATCCCCGTGTAGGGGGACACGCCCGACTTAATGCTACAGTCGGGGCGTTGACCTAAGGAACCCTAAATAAGAAGCGAGGCCCCTTGTTTATCCATAAGCCAAGCTTCGGCGATTTTGGGATCATTTTGGGAGCATTTGTTGCGTGTTGTTTTGGTTTTCGCCCAGCATGCCCCTGCAGGGGGACACGTCCGACCTGAGCATACGGGTTGACCGTGCACGGCGTCAGGGCCCCTTGAGGAGCATCGGGGGAAGAACAGGAGAACGGGAGAAGAACAGCTGGCTACAGAAGAGGAGGAGGAGCAGGAGGAGGAGGAGGAGGAGGAGGAGGAGGAGGAGCATCCTGGACCAAAACGCCACGCACGCAACAAAAGGAGAGGGAGGAGGAGGAAGAGGAAGAGGAGGAGGAGGAGGAGGAGGAGGAGGAGGAGGAGGAGGAGCAGGAGGAGGAGCAGGAGGAGGAGGAGCAGGAGGAGGAGGAGGAGGAGCATCATGGACCCAAGAGCCACGCGCGCAACCAAAAAAGCACGGGGGATGGACGTCCGAGCGATGGCCCCCGCACCCCCGCGCCCTCGCGCCCTCGCCCCCGCGCCCCCGCGCCCTCGCCCTCGCGCCCTCGCCCTCGCGCCCGGGCGCGGGGCCCCCGGCCTTCGGCCCCCTGCGCCCTCGCCTGCGCGGAGGCGGCGGGCAGGGCGGGCGGCCCGATGGCGGGCGGTGCGCGGCGCTCGCCGCGCCTTCCACTCCTCCCTCCTCCTCCTCCTCCTCCTCCTCCCTCCTCTTCCTCCTCCTCCTTCCTCCTCCCCTCCCCCTCCTCCTTCTCCTTCTCCTCCTCCTCCCTCCTCCCTCCTCCTCCTCCTCCCTCTCCTCCTTTCTCCTCCTCCTTCCTCCTCCTCCTCCTCCTCCTCCTCCTCCTCCTCCTCCCTCCTCCTCCTTCCTCTTCCGCCTCCTCCTCCTCCTCCTCGTCCTCCTCGTCCTCCTCCCTCCAAGACTGCCTTTAAGTCGGGTCTGTCCCTCTACAGGGGGGAATATTCAAAAATAATCAAACCATAGTCTTGGGACTAGTTTTCGAGCATTTCTCAGAAACTGTTGGGCATTGTTTGCGCATGTTCTATTCGCCGTCCAAAATCCCCCCGTAGGGGGGCAGGCCCGACCTAACACTGCCTACCCCCTCCGACGACGTCGACTGCGACGAAATCATTGACGGCCGCGGCGGCGGCGGCGGCGGCCCAGCCAGGTCATCGCCGAGGGTCGCGCCGTTGGCGGGCGCATCGGCAGCGGCAAGGTGAACATGCTGAAGAGCCTCGACGACATGTCAAGCTTCAAGGCCGAGGGCAGGGCGAGCAGGAGGAGGGAGGAGGGGCAGAGGTCGAAGGTCCTCCTCCTCCTCCTCCTCTCCCCCCTCGCTCGTTCGCTCGCGACGGACGGCTGACGAGTTCGCAGCCTGTCCAAGCAGGCGGGGATCAAGTGGGCGCGGGAAAACGAGAGATTGCACGACGAGTGATCACCCCTCACCCAGGAATGACCCTCGAAGCCACAGGCGCATCCCCCTCCTCTTCCTACCCCGCCTCCCCTCCCTCCCCCTCTCCCCCCATGGGGGCCCAGGACTACAGGACGTGGCCGCTCCTTCAACCTCGGGAGCCTGTGACTGGCGTGCGCTCCATTGCCCGCGATGGTTCACGAGGCCAGCGCCGTGATCTCACGCTCGCCTCGGCGAGTTGCCTCGTGCGGGGGAGTATGTTCCCCTTCCTCCCCCTTCTGTTTGCGCAGGAAGATGACAGCATGGGTTGCGCAGCCAGGTTCAAGCGGGGGACATGTGTCTGTGTTGCCGCGCGGCCCCCACTCGCTGGGGGGCGTCGTCATCCCCGACCGCGAAAACTGGGAGGCGAGCCATGGCCTAGGGACGGCGAGGCAAAGGAAGGAGAGGAGGCGAGTGCAGAGGAGGACCCGAGGAGGAAAGGGAAGCAGCGGAGGAGAGGTTGGCAAGTTCTGCTGCCGCCCCGGGGTCCTGAGCACAAGGGGGCCCCCGCGGAGGTCCCCACGAGGCCTCCCGAGGCCCCATCAGTTTTCGGGCGTCGAATCGAAGGCAAAACAATGGCAGGAGGGGGTGGAATGAGAGGCCAAGATCTTCTCCTCCCCCTCGCACCTGCAGAAGCAAAGCAACTACCACGTTCATCGCGCCTGATCACGCACGTGTTGGCCCACGCGGCTTGGCGAAAGCATTGGGCCGGACCTGCGTTTTCAGTCTGCGTGCGGAGCGCCGCGTCGACACGCCACGGGTTGCCCATCGCGTATCGGGGTAAGCTCCTCCCGTCTCCTGGCGATCTGCAGGGGCCAGAATCGGGAGGGACCTCGGCCAACAGAGCGCGGCAGGCTGGCGACGTGCTCGTGGCGGACATGACCGACCCCGACTGGGAGCCGGTCATGAGCAAGGCTTCGGCCATCATCACCAATCGCGGAGGCTGGCGCGGGGATCAGCATTGAGCTCCTCTTCTTCCTTTGTCCTCCATCCTCTATCCTCCATTCTCCTCCTCCTCCTCCTTCGCCTCACCCCTTTCCCTGTGTAGGACATTTCGTTTGTGCGATTGCACTGTCATGTACCGCTGTTGGCAGATGCGCACGTGACTTCAATTTGAATCGATGCCCTGTGTGATTCCACAAAAGCAGATTCACACGCTGAGTTCCAGTGTGACCGCCAAGGGGGGCGCAGCGCCGCTGGGGCGGCGGAAACTGCCGACACAATGTGCTTCTAGCAATCGACGTCGTGCAGTACATGTGGTGCAGCGTATGTTGTGCAATCCATGTGGTGCAACAAATGCTGGCCCCCGTGTGCTAACACGAAGGTGTATCAATATTGTCGTTATGCCCGATGCCTGTGGCCCTTCGAGCTCAGGCGCTCGGCCGATGCTGGCCGTGGGGCCGTGCGCCCTCGACGCCGCGCGGGGCAGCTGGTGAGCAAGGTGCTTCATGAGTGCGATACCCTCGGCCCGCGCGTGGCGTTTCAGGCGGACGAGACCGACTTCGACGGACCATTCCAGCAGGGGGCGGCGGCGGCGGACGTCGGCGTGGAGGACGCACTGTGGCCCCTGGAGGAGTTCGTGGACCAGGCAGCGGCCGAGGAACCAGTGCAGCAGCGGCTGAGGGCGCTCCCGGGATGCCTTAATGGGGCCATGCTTGGGGGACGCCGTGGCCTGCTTCGCCGAGTTCCCCAGCGCGTTCATCGGGGCATTGGAGCGGCTGGTCATGGACGGAGGCCTTGCAAGGTACCTGCGCGGGGTGGAGTGGCTCCGCTTCGTCAAGGACTGGGCGTTGCTGCGTTACGCCAACCACTTTTGGCTCTTGCCACAGCGCTTCGCCTTCGCGGACGGGGGGCTGACGGCCGCGGTGGAACGCGCGATGACTTAGCGGAGCGGGGCGCAAGATGCTAGAGTTGCCGCTCGTGGTATCCAGTGAATACTACATGAGGAACCCCGCATATACAGACGGGCTGCGACCCGTCGACGGAGATCGCGGACTTCGAGAGGGGCCGCTTCCTGCCGCGGCGCGACGACGCGGCGCAGGAGGTGGTCCGCAAGCCCGCCAGGTGCGCAGAGGCGGCGGCAACGGGCCAGGAGGTGCTCTGGTGGATGCTGAAGCCAGCGGCATGCACGGGCGAAGGGGTCGACGAGCTTCTCATTCTCGAGGAGGTCGCGAGTTTCTGACCGAACGCTCAGAGCGGGCGACGACCCTGCAGCCGCGGCAGCGAAGGGGACTCCGAATATCGAGCGCGACTACCTGGGCAGATGGTCGTCGGAAGACGCGGACGCCCGCCGGGGGTCGCGCCGCGCGGTCGTCTTGAAGCTCCAGCAGCGATTCGCGGAGGCGCTGCGTTCCAGGAAGGCCCGCGCGTTTCTGGGCGAGGCGGCGGCCATCCCCGACCTGGCAAACTGGCTGGTGCTGTTGCAGAGCTTGTCAGTGCAAAATGCGGCGAGCGCGGCGGCTGGGGCCCGCCTGGCCCTGGGTCGGCCGCGGCGCCCGGAGAGAAGGAGGGGCGGCAGCGGGAGGCGCCGACCCCGGAGACCGCCCTCGAGGATGGAGAGGTGGAAGACGCCGCGCCGCCGACGGGGACAGCGACGCCTTCGCGAAGTGCGCGGGGGGGCGGAGGACGGCCGCGACGGCGCCGACGACGGCAGCTGGACGAACGCGCAGATTGGAGACTCGAGAGCGGCAGCCCCTCCCCGGCGAGCCAGGATGCCGACGCGGTCGGCGTCTACCTCGTCGCGCAAGGCGGCCATGTCCCACGCGGTCGGGGGACGCGGCTGGGCGCCCGGCAGGTCGCCGCTGAACTCGACCCACTTCGACGACGTGCCAGACCCGCGGGGGCGCGACATGGTCTGCCAGAGATGCCGGCGCCTCAGCCCGGCCGAGACGACGGCGGCAGCCGTTGACGCGGGCCCCGCGGCTTCGAGCGGCCGCGCCCTCGCGCCAGGGCCGCGCGCCAGGGCGGCTCGCTCCCTCCGCTGGGCGAAGCGGGCGGCGCCCTCGGGGCGGGCGGCAGCGAGGCCTCGCGCAACATCCCGGGGCGGGAGCCGCGCCTGCGCCCCAGCAGGTGGGGGGCCGCGCCGCGCGACCCAAATGGGCGAGGGCCCGCCTCGCAAGGCCATCCTGACGTCCGCGCGAGGGGCCCGGGTGCGAGACGCATCGCCGCGCGCCCCAGTTGGGGGCGACTCCGACGAAGGGGGCGCGAAGGAGAATAGGAAGAAGAAGACGCATTTCATTCCATCAGAATCAGAATGGCAATGATTAGAGGAAGAGGATGAATAACAATTATATTCAGACTGTTACTAATCAGAAGAGTAAGAAGAGGAGGGGCAGGGGCCAGGCGCCCCCCAGGATCTGGGGGGCAAGCCGCAGAGCACAACTGCAGCTGTCTCCAACCTTTCGCGAGGCACAGGCGACTGGCGGACGTCGCTGCCCTCGCGTGCCGCCCTGCGCGCGCGCTTGGAAGAGGCGGGTTGGCCAGGTTAGTCGACGGCGACCTCTCCAACAAAGTGCTGAGGATAACTAACTACCTCGGGGGGCTGGCAGCAGGCGAGTGGGTCGCGCCCAGGGCCTCGCCGCCCTGCAGCCTCGAGTCGCGAGCGGCGCAGATTAACCGCCGAGGCCCGCGCCCGGCACGATTGGAACAGCAATGGCCCCGCCGATTCGAAGATTTCGCCTTCCGCGCTGAGGGCCCAGCAGATGAGCAGCAGGCGAGCGGCTGGCCTGCTGGATCTGCCCGAGGACCGCGGCGCCGCGCAGGCGGGCGACATCCGCGGTCAGGGCCCCGCCAGCATGATTCAGCTGAAGGGGGGCCCCACGCAGACCCAAACGGGACCTCGCCATCCCTGGGGGGGGCTGCGAAGTGCGACGCTGTTGTCACTTTCGAGGGCTGCTGGGGTGGTGGGGGCCAGCACAGTGGGGCCCTACAGAGACCCAAACGGCACCTCGCCATCACTGAGGCGGGGGGCTGCGAATTGTGAAGCCCTCGCCACTTTCGAGGGCTGCTGGGAGGGCCGGCACAGTGAGGCCCCATGCAGACCCAGCCAGGACCTCGCCACCCATTGGAGGGGCTGCGGAGTGTGAAACCCTCGCCACTTTTGAGGGCTGCTGATGGGAGCCAACACAATGAGGTCCCACGCAGACCCAACGGGACCTCGCCATCCCTGGGGGGGGCTGCGAAATGTGAAGCTGTCGCCACGGCCGAGGACTGCTAAGGGGGGGCCAGCACAGTGGAGTCCCACGCAGACCCATACTGGACCTCGCCATCCCTGGGGGGCTGCGAAGTGTGAAGCTGTCGCAACGTCCGAGGGCTGCTGGGGGGTCCAACGCAGCGGGGCCCCACGCAGACCCAAAAGGGGACCTCGCCATTCCGGGGGGGGAGGGGGCTGCGGAGTATGTAAGCGTCGCCATTTTCGAGGGCTGCGGGGGGGGGGGGGAGCAACGTAGTGGGGTGCCACGCAGATCCAAACGAGACCTCCCCACCCATGGGGGCTGCGAAGTGTGAAAATGTCGCAACTTTCGAGGACAGCTGGGTGGGGCAGCACAGTGGGGCCCCACGCTGACCCAATCGGGACCTCGCCATCCCTGGGGGGACTGCGAAGTGTGAAACTTTCGCAATTTTCGAGGGCTGCTGAGGGAGCCAACACAATGAGGTCCCACGCAGACCCAAAAGGGGACCTCGCCATCCGTGGGGGGCCTGCGAAGTGTGAAACCCTCGCCGCTTTCGAGGTCTGGCGGCGCGCCTGCGCGCGCTTGGTGCTTGCACTAAGATGTGCAGGGAGGAAGCGGAGAGGCTGGCGGGCGAGTTAGGCCTTGACCTTCTCTTTCATTAGCAACGGGAGGTTTCAATCATATTCCGAGGCGTTGCGGCAACGCGGAGCGCTGGCCGCGCAGTTCTTGAGCTTTTCGGCACGTAAAGCGCGACATTGAATTGTCCAGTTTTGCCTCCGCCTATGTAGCCACATGTTTCCCATGCTCCATCATCTCTTCTGTCTAGGTGATTGATTTTTCTTCCTTTTGCTTCTCCTGCCCAGTACCTCTGTTCTGCGAGTCGGCCACGCACACTTCGCACGATATAGCATATATCCGCTGAGCACCGTATCTTTCAATGTTGTTGTCGCTCGATTGCCGGTACACCTTATATCATCCTTTGGTGCCGATGGGTTGGGTGAGGTGCTACGCAGATCCAAACAGGACTCGCTATTATTGGGGATTTGTGAAGTGTGAAACGGTCGCCACTTTCGATGGCTGCTGGGGGGGGCAGCACGGTGGGTCCCTGCGCAGATCTAAACAGGAACTCGCCATCCTTGGAGGGGGGCTGCGAAGTGTGAGCGCGTCGCCATTTTCCAGTGTCGCTGGGGGAGCCAGCACAGTGGGGTCCCACGCACCCATTGGCGTCGGAAGAACACACACAGGAACTTCACAGCACAGGACCTTCACAGACAAGTTGTCCAGGAGCATAACTCGCGGTCGCCACAGGTCTTGCGATCTTGCCAGGGGCAACGTGATGGGGGACGGGCTCAGGGGAAGATGCATCGAGCTGGAATCACCCACTCATCGCCGATAGGGGCCCCGATAGCCCATCCGCCAAGGAGCGGGCGGATTCGCTATCGGGGGCCTCTCGCCGACCCATCGGCGACGCATCGCCGATGCTATGTCGATGCTCCCCCCCCCGGGCGGGGCCAGGACGAGGATAAATCCGCTGCAGGGCGCTCCGGAACGCTCTTGGGGCGCTCTGGAGCGCACAGAGAAGGCCGCAATGCGCCCGAGACATCCTCCAGAGCCGCTGGTTCTCGGAGAATTTCCATTCAGCCTCGCCCGCTTCTGTCCTCGTCCTGGTTCCGTCTGGCCCCTTGCGGTGGTCCCCCCCGTGAGGCCTTAGTGGGCCCTGCAAACGACAAGGCGTTTTTTTTACCGGTTCCCACGCCCCCCTCGGGCAGTCCGAGGCCTGCCCAAGAAGGCCAAGCGCCAAGCTCCGGAGCGCTCAGAGAAGGCCGCAGTGCGCCCGAGACACACTCCAGAGCCGCCGGTTCTCAGCGAAGCCCCATGCGGCCTCGCCCGCTTCTGTCCTCGTCCTGGGTCCGTCTGGCCCCCCGCGGTGGTCCCTCCCGTGAGGCGCCCCCCTCGGGCAGTCCGAGGCCCGCCCAAGGAGGCCAGGCCCCGAGGCAGGTCGCCGGCCGCCGGGCCCGGGCGGGGCCCAGCCCCAGAGGCCGCACCTGCCACGCCGCGATCATCGCCCGCGAGCTGGGCATCCCGGCCATCGTCGGCTCCGGGTGGGCGGCGGGGGGCCGCCGCCAGCGTCGTCGGGGTCCTCGTCGCCGTCGTCGTCGTCACCGTCGTCGTCCGCCGCCGTCGTCGCCGTCGCCGTCGTCACCGTCGTCGTCCGCCGCCGTCGTCGTCGTCGCCGTCGTCGTCGTCGTCGTCGTCGTCGTCGTCGTCGTCGTCGTCGTCGTCACCGTCGTCGTCATCACCGTCGTCGTCCGTCCTCGTCGTCGTCGTCGCCGTCGTCGGCTCGTCGCCGTGGTCGTTGTCGCCGTCGGCGGCATCACCGTCGCCGTCCTCCGCCGTCGTCACGGTCATCGCTGTCGCCGACGTCGTCTCCGACCTCGTCACTGCCGTCGTCACCGCCGTCGTCGTCGCCGTCGTCGTCGTCGTCGCCGTCGCCGTCGCCGTCGTCGGCGACATCACCGCCGTCACCGTCATCGCCGTTGCCACTGTCGGCATCACCGTCGGCATCGCCGTCGTCTTTGCCCTCGTCGCCGTTGTGAGAGAGGGGGGAGCAGGGACTGAACGAAGGGGAGGGGGAGCACTGTGAGGAGAAGGGAGAGGGAGGGAGAAGAAGAGTGAGTGAGTGAGGCCAGTCTCGAAGCGAGTCGACCGAATCGAAGAACTCTTGCGAGAGAGTTCAGCCTGACCGATAACCTTCGTCAATCGGCCTAAGAGGACTGTGCAGACATGGTGCTCGAGTTTGACGCCGTGTGACAGTCGTATTCCAGGCTCTTCGGCATGTGGACTTCATCGTGCTCACACCTGCAGCTAAACCAAAGCTTCCCATTTTCATCAACATGTGATGGCTCTCCGCTACATGCGGACTAACGTGGACTAGCCCATGGCGGTTCTGGCATTGCTTAGGGCAAGACGGGGACGAATTCCAAACAGGTTGATTGGTTTTTGTTGAGAAGCTGATGCGCGTTAGATGTGAGGCCGCATTCGATGTGTTCGACTTACGCCATGCGAACATGTGTTTGCATGTACAGGAAGGATGGTAGAGGAGGGGGAGGATCAATTTTGTTCTTCACGCCTTGCGTCTCAGTTCCCCGCTCTCCGCCCATGGTGCCCAACGTCGAACGGAGGAGACGAAGCCAGAAAAGATACGCCCGAGCCGAGGTATAATATCGAGATCCTTCAAGGATGTTTTTCTGGCCTAGGTCCGACCCCACACCTTGCCCTCATTGCCGGGGACAAGGCGTCCTTCACACTCTTGCACTCTGCCACGACCGGCGGCGGCACGGGAGAGGGCGTCCGCAATCGCACGTCAAGTGCTGTCCACGAGGAGTAAACGTCAGTTGTCGGTTCAGTTAGTTCTTCGTGTACGACGATCCCATCTCTCGAAGCTCGAAACACATCTTTTCTAGTATGAGCCCTACACAGTAACGTATTGCACGGCGGATGTGCAAGCTATTTGGCACAAGGGGAGGGACGTGCGGGGAAGATATGGGATGAGGCGGAGGAGCAAGAGGAGGAAGAGGAGGAGGGTCAGCGGCGAGGGTCGGAGGAACGCTACTGAGTTGGTCAGCAACGGCCAGTCCGTCACCGTGTCGTGCGCAGAAGGTGACGCGCCTCTGGGTCATGCCCTCGCTGTGATTGTGCTACTCTTCTTCATATTCTCCTTCCTGCGCGCGGTCATGTATGGTGGGCGGTTTCACGCCACAGCGGCATTTGGAAACAGCTTGGCAAGGGATGCCGCACGAGTAAGTTTCGTATCAAAGTCGATCTACCCACTTCGTTCCCCATCTGGCTAGTCAGGCAAATCGGCAGTGGCAGTGATACATTCTCCGCTTCCCATGCTCCTTGTCCGTAATGGCTGTGAGGGCGGCTCCGCTTTCAGCGCACCTGTACATATTGCCTCGCCTGAAGTGCACATCTGTCCTGCAGCGCCGTCGACAATGCCCTTTCGCGCAGTCTCGGCCGCTGTGGGTTCATACTCGTACAGGTCCTTGGTGCATCCCGTCTTTGGGCGAGGCATTCGCACCGCGTGCCCTTGGTGTCTACGCCAGGGAGCATGCTGGCTCGCTTGGTGAAGCGTATTCGTCATCGCGCGAGGAGGTGGATGCGATCTCTCCATCCCCGCCATTCCTCCATCAAGGGCCCTGTGTGGTCGCAGACGGCTCGTTCACGGGCTCTGCGTCGTCCCCTCGCCAACAGCCCGAGGCCACCGGGGCGCGCGCCATCTGGGCCGTGCAAGCGTTCTGCCCGTCCAGCTGCTTCAGTCCGAGGCGGGAATTTATACATGACCACCGCCTGGAGGGTCAGTTTTCGGAGCCTCGACAGGCGGTGGATATGGACATGTTCGGGCCCCCGGGGGCCGAAACATCTATATATATATATATATATATATATATATATATATAGACATACATATATATATATATATATATATCCATATCCATATCCATATCCATATCCACCGCCCGCCCGGGCACCAGGACGTCGGTTCCCAGGCGGTGGATATGGATAAGTCCCCGCCTCGCACCAGAGCAGGCCGCCCGCACCCCGGGGCCAGACCTGCTTCGGCGGCGAGCGAGGGGGGGAAGCGAGAAGGAGTGAGTCGGGCACGTCCCTCTCCGGGAGGACATTCCAGAATTTCGGAAGATAGTTCGGGGTTATGTTTTGAATATGTTTCATCATGTTTGGATTTGGTTTGACTATTTTCTTATTGCTCGTCCAAAATCCGCCTGTAGGAGGACATGCCCGACCTCAGAAGAAGAAAGCTTACTCAGAAGGCGACGGGACTTCTCAGAAGCCCTAGCGCCTGCTGAGAAGTCTCCCTGTGGCTCCGGGGAGGGCTTCGGAAGCTTGTCCGAAGGCCGGGGGACCTCCGAGCCTTCTGAGGAGGCCCGCCCCTTCTCGCTTTCCCCCCCCGGGGCTCGCCGCCGAACTCTTCGGAGGGGGGCCCCCAGCATGCTGCGGCTGGAATCGCCCTCCCTGCGACGCCCGATGGGGGGGCACGCCGCCCCCGGGAGGAGAAAACGGCGGGGGCCTCTCGGCCCCCTGGGGGGGCGAGCGGGGCTTTTCTCGAGGAGGAGCAGGAGGGGGAGGATGAGGAGCAGGAGGGGGAGGAGGAGGAGGAGCAGGAGGATGAGGAGCAGGAGGGGGAGGAGGAGGAGGAGGAGGAGGAGGAGGAGGAGGAGGAGGAGGAGGAGGAGGAGGAGGACCGCGTGTGGAGAGCCCTGGGCGGAGATCCCTGCCAACCAGCAAAGCCAAATGGTTGCCTACACTCTGTGGAGGACGATCCATGGAGAGGAAGCATGTTGCCAAGTAAATTCCAGATATCTAAAGCATTTGTTAAACATGTCTCAAACATGTAAAAAGCAGGTTTAAAACATGGTTAGAACATGTGTCCGACATTTTAAACACATGTTCAACTCAATGATAGGACTGTCAGGGTGTCCATGGTCGTGGCTTCCACAAGCCTACACCCAATGCGCCCGGGGTCCACTGGCAATTCATAGACAGCCCGACGGCGTCCCGAAGGGGCCCCCACTGCCGACCCGCTGGGCCTGATCTGCCCATGGGGGCCCGCTGGGAGCCCGCCCAGGGTTCACTGACAACCCGACGGGGCCCCGCTGCCAACTCGCCCAGGTCAGACAAGGGGTGCCCATGGGGCGCATAGCACTCCGCCTGGGGTCTTGCAGACAACCCGTCGGGGTCCGCCATGGCGGTGTGAGAGCTCAGGAAGGAGTGAGTGCGGAAAGGGTGTCCATCCCCCTCCTCCTACCACTCCCCACTGCGCCGTTTGGGATTGGCAGCGGGTGTCCCTTCGCTTCCCTCCGTGCGGCACCCAGTTATCCAACTTTGTCGCCGTGAGGCGTCCATTCGCCATTCGGCTCCCCCCTCTTCCGCTCCCACTCCTGCAGGTTGCAGCGGGATTGGCAGTGTGGTGGCAGATGGGTTGGCGGCGGCTTGTCAGCACGCGCCCCGCCGGCAGGTCAATCGTAGGCGCCTCGGGGGGATGCCAGCAGGTGCCCCGCGGGCTGTCAGTGAGCGCCGCGGTGCTCGGCGGCCTGTGCCCACCGTGCGGGGTGCTCGGCTCGCCCACCGGCGCCATCTATGGTGCGGTGCTCAGATCACGGCTTCCAGAGGTGAGAAGCACCAGTGGGCGGCGCACTGATACGGACGGCCCACGGTCTCGCATGGCGGCAGCGTAAGAATCCATTTCGGAACTCCGCGTTGCCATCAGGAGCTCTGTCCGGGCGTTGAGGGCGAAGGCCGAGAGCTCCAGGCGAGCGGGTCAGGACACTGTCTGCGGTTGCCCTCGGAGCTGATCAAGGCATCGTGTGGGAAGGTCCGTCCACGTCCAAGGCGGCGTGCCACCCACACTGGTGGCCCTGAGTTGTCCTCGCTGTTTGTGGACTAGAAGTCGTTGACCTCCAGACCCTTGCAGGAGAAGTCGAGGCGAAGGCAGACGAGGATAAACTTGCTAGCGCGATGCCGCAGCCGGAAAAACGCTGAGAGCTGGCGGGTCTGGGTGCCATGCCCAGCGCCGCGGCCGCTCCGGAGCGCCCTGGAGCAGTCCGAGAGCGTTGCGCGACGCTGCGGGGAGGGGGGGGCGATGTGCCCTCATCCCGGGCTTCCCAAGAGAGGCAGGACAAGCCGCGCACATCTGCACGAACGAAATGGCACGGAAAGAATGGGTGCAATGCCCAACAGCAGTTCCTCTTCATTTTGAACAGAACTCGCTGTCCGCGCCGCCGCGGCCTGTGTCAATTCGAGACAGGAGGCCGCCTGCCCAACAGCGGCCGCTGTTGGTTTGGGACAACATTTGTTGTTGGGCATTGTACAAATTTTTTCCGTACCCATTTCGGGCGTCCAAATCCTGGTCTTTTCGTTTCTCGCGCTGCGCGGTGACTTCCGCAGGCGTTGGGGGGGCTGCTGCGTTCAGGGCGCTCCAGGTTTCCCCTCTGGTGCATCTCGCGCACGGGTTCTCAGGGTTGGGTCTCTTGCAAGAGTTTCTTGCGGCCGCGCCCACACTGTATGCCGGACGACCGTGTGTAGAGTACGTCATTGGACGTGCTGGAACGATCGAAGGCGCGCGGGACACGCAATGAAACAGGCATGAGTCCCAAGATTCCTTATTTGTTCCCATGCTTTCTGGACTTTCGTCTTCCCCTCCACCTCCCATATAGTCTTTGGGATATCTTTACCCATCGGTCGGAAGAGGTAGGTAGAAACATGAAGTAGGAAGGCGTGGAAAGTAGATCGGGCTCCGTCCGCCCAGACGGAAAAGGTGGAGCCACTCGATCATTGAAGTAGAGGAAGACGCTTCGAGTAGGTTGGAATCTGGGAATCCAAGAATACCTACTTCAACGACCGATGGGTACACATTGCTGATTTCCAATCCTTCGACAGTTCTTGATTTTCTTGGGGGGGGGGGCGAGATCCCTTCGTTTCCGAATGTTCTCTCCTGGGCCTCTTCCTGGCCACCAAGGGGGCCACAAGAACGATCAGCAAGGAGCACGATGAGGAGCGAGCACGATCAGCACTGAACGACGCGTGCTCGTGTCTGTGTGCGCTCTCCCCTCCTGCACACAGGGGGACGCGACGCGCTTCGACGCGTCGACGGCGCGAGAGCCCCCGGCCGAGGGGCGCACGTCGGGTCCCCGATCGCTGCCCCCCGAGAAAGGGCGCGCGCGCGGGGCCCGCTCGCCCTCTCCGCCGGCCGTGGCCTCGGGGGGCCGGCCGCGCGTCTGTCAAGGCCCTCCCTCGCGGAGGGGCCCAGGGACGCACACGAGTAGATACGCACACAAACACGCGCCCACGCACGCACGCACGGCACGCACGCGCACGCACGGCACGCACGCACACGCACGCACGCACGCGCGCGCGCGCACGCACGCACGCGCGCGCGCGCACGCACGCACGTACGCACGCACGCACGCACGCACACACGCACGCACGCACGCACGCACGCGCACACACAGACAGACACACACACACACACACACACACACACACACACACGCACGCGCGCGCGCACGCGCACGCGCACGCGCACACACATACACACACACACACAGCACACACACAACACACACACACAAACACACACACGCGCACGCACGCACTCACGCACGCACACCCACTCACGCACGCACACCTACGCACGCACGCACGCACGCACGCACGCACGCACGCACACACACACATACACACAAAATCCCAGGATTCCCCACCTTTTCCAATATCTTCTGGACCTTCGTCTTCCCCCCCACTTCCCTCAGCTTCCCATCTTTTCCGGTGACTCGGCGAGTAGTTGTGTCTGTGTGCGTTCACCTCCTGACTTTACTCTGCTCCACTGCCTGCCCTGCTGACCAAAGGGAACGGTGCTGCGAGCCCAGGCCATTCGCTGCCAAAGCATGCCCGAAACGCCAATCGGCGGGCTCGAGGTTAACAGGGCTCACGGCCCGGATCCGACTGCGACCCAGGAAGATCGGGCACGAATCCCACGACTTCGGTCCTGACGCCTTGGACGCCCATGAGCCATCAGCTCAGAGGCCCAGACCGTCGGGACTGGCCCTCAAAGGCTTCGTTTTCGTGTTGCTGAATATTTCCTGGTCGACCGCGGGCCACCCGTGTCAGTGAGCAAGCCGACCAGTGTGGACACGCAGACTAAAACGTGGAGGTGCATGATGTTTTCGCTGCGATGGGCTCGGTCGGACACCCACCGCTCAAGCCTCCTCGGGTCCCTTTGGCGCTAACCGCGGCTCCTCATGAGGAGCGCCGCCTGAGCTTGCCCACCGCTTTCCGTGACCCTCGTCGGCATGGGGCCCACGAGTTGCGCTCGCTCCTGCTCTGTGCTTCTCCCTCCCGGCTGCATCTTCGCAGTCGCGCGGGCGCCCGCTCTGCAGCGGGGGCCGCCGCCGCCAGCGTCCGCCGTGGCAGCGGGGGGGGCGCGTCGATCTCGGGCCGCGGGGCGGTGCGTACGAGTTGGACCCCTCTGGCCGGCAGCGCATCCACGTGTTCCGCACTCGCTCGTTCCCCCGCTCTGCCCACGCCTCTCGTCTTATTGTTTCGCGGGCGAAAAAAACGTACTCGTATCCGCGGCCTCGCGGGCCCGGCCTTTGGGCAGCGACCCCCGCGGATACTGGGCGTTCTTGTCGCGGGTGCCCCGCGCGGAACGTATCCGTGCGGCTTCAGGAGGATAAAAAACACACAGCCACAATGAATCGTCTATTCCCCAGAAAGCATGGGAAAGTAATATGGGCAGTGGGGGGGAAGACAGAATCGCAGAAACTGTGGGAAAATACTGGGAATCCTTCTATTTGTGTGTGTATTTCTTTGTGTGTCCCAGGGCCCCTTCACGGCTGCAGATCCGCGGGATCGCGCCCCGGAATCCAGACCGCGAGGGCGCGGGCACCGACATGTTCGCCGCCCGTGATCGCCCGCGCCTCTCATCCTCCTGTGGGGGGCGCGCCCCGCTTGTCCGCTCGGGCGTCGGGAACATTAGGCCCCCTCTTGCTGCTGATCCTGCAGTGTGCTGCTCCTCCGCTCGCCATGGGGGATGCGGGGTCCCGGGAGGAGGAAAGGGAAGTGGAAAGGGAGAAGGAAAGGGAGGAGGAAAGGAAGGAGGCGGAGGAGGAGGAGGAGGAGGAGGAGGAGGAGGAAGGGAGGAGGAGGAGGAGGAGGAGGAGGAGGAGGAGGAGGAGGAGGAGGAAGGGAGGGGGAGGAGGAGGAGGAGGAGGAGAGGGAGGAGGAGGGGGAGGAGGAAGAAAGGGAGGAGGAGGGGGAGGAGGAGGGGTAGGAGGAGGAGGAGGAGGGGAGGAGGAGGAGGAGGAGGAGGAGGAGGAAAGGGAGGAGAAGGGGGGGGAGGAGGGAGCTTTCCCAGGGCCAGCTCTTCATCCCGAGCCGTTCTTGGCAGGCTGGGGGGCCCGTGGAGGGCCCCCTGAGAGCAGAACGCGGCCCCCCTCCCGCACTTCGTAGGGAGTGCAGAGAGCCAAGACGCTGAAATGTAAGGCACAGTCTGGATTCGGAAGGTAGGAAGGACGTAAGGAACATCGTTCCCCTTCTAGGGGAATAAAAAGTGACATAGACATAAAAACTCGGAGGTCCACGCGGATTTCTCGGATCGGCGCTGGGGCCCCCCGGCGGCGCCTCCGGCGCCGCCCCTGGCGCGCTCCGCGCGCCAGGGAGGGGGGTCCACCGCCGATTTGAGAAATCCGCGCGGACCTCCGAGTTTCTATATTTATGTCACTTTTTGTTTCCCTAGAAGGGGCTCGATGTTGCTAGCGTCCTTCCGTGGTTGTTCCTCCAGCCCTCCTCGTGCACCCAGGCTGTTTCGAAGCCACCGAAGGGCTCCGTTCCTTCTTTGGCGTTCCTGATTTCAGCAGCCCGACTGTGCCACGGATCGGCAGCGAGCGAGAGTGGGAATGAGAAGGAGAGAAGGCGTTCTCAGAGGGCACCGGGGGCTCCTCAGAAGCCTTCCGGCCTACTGAGAAGTTTTGTCAGTGTCTTCGGGGGACGCTTATATTTCGAGAACTTCTCGGAAGGCCAGGGTACTTCCGAGCCTTCTGGGAAGGCCCGCCCCCTCTCACTTCTCAAGCGAGGGAAAACCACCCTGACCCGACAGCTGGCGTTTCCCAAACGGCCCTGGGCGTGTACTGAGCAGCCCTGCCCTGTTCGATTCCTTCCTTGGGTGCGTTTACGAAACGGCTTCGCTTGTCGGGGTGATGACCTATTATGGGGGTTCAATGCAAACGGGAGTCCAGAGCGCCAGATCTTGCGGGATGCTGCAGGGCCAGGGCTGCACAGACCCGTGCTTGGGTGCAGGATCCTGCTGGATCTTGCAAGGCCTGACTGGCCCGGCTGGGGCTCGAGCTCGGGCCCGTGCGCGGGCCTTCTATTCCTCCTCCTACTCCTCCTCCTCATTCTCCTCCTCCTTCCCCTTCTCCTTCTCCTTCTCCTCTTCCTTCTCCTTTCCCTTCTCCTTTTTCTTCTCCCCCTCCTTCTCCTCCTCCTCCTCCTCCTCCTCCTCCTCCTCCTCCCCTCCTCCTCCTCCTCCTCCTCCTCCTCCTCCTCCTCCTCCCCCTCTCCCTCCCCCTCCCCCTCCTCCTCCTCCTCCCCCTCCTCCTCCTCCCCCTCCCCCCCCTCCTCCTCCTCCTGAGCAGGCTCGCCCCCTCTCGTTCCCCCCCGCGCTGGGCGGGCCGCCGACCGGGGCGCAGGCGATACCGGCTTCATCTACGACGGCGAGCTGAAGTTCACCAAGGACGTCAAGGACGGCTCGGGCGGCGGCGCGCGCGAGCTCGGTTCGGGCCGGACGAAAGGGGGAGGAGGAGGAGGAGGAGGAGGAGGAGGAGGAGGAGGAGGAGGAGGAGGAGGAGGAGGAGGCGGAGAAGGAGGAGGAGGAGGAGGAGGAGGAGGAGGAGCGGGTGGAGGCGTCCGCCTTTTCAAAGCGGGGCTCTCTCTCGCCTTAGCGCTGCGCCCATTCGCCCTGAAATCTTGCTGAAATTTGTCTGGTCCTCGGGCCGGACGAAAGGTGGGATTGGGAAAGGGGGGTACAAAATTTGCTGCATGCAGCTGGTTTCGGCTTCACCGAGGGGCCCATTTCTCGATACCTGACCGCCTCCGGCGCCGCAAGGCGCCGGGAAAATCAGCTACGTGAGCTGATTATCCCCCCCCTTTGATATCCCCCCTTTCGTTCGCCCGGCCCGAGTGGCGCGGCCAGGGCGAGGCGGCAGGAGGCGTCTTCGGGCGTGAGGTCGAGGATCTCAGACCTCTGGGGACTCGAGTATGACAAGAATGGCGCCAACTGTCGGCGGCGAGCGAGGAGGGGAAGTGAGAAGGAGGAGGCCTTCTCAGAAGGCGGCGGGACTTCTCGGAAGCCCTCGCTCCTCCTGAGAAGGTTCTGGTGGCCTTCGGGGAAGGCGTTTAGAAAACTGTTCAGGAGGCGGGGGGCCTTCCGAACCTTCTGAGGAGGCCTTTTCCTCCTTACTTCCCCCCCTTGGCTCGCCGCCGAAACTGCCCGTCGGTCGTTGAAAGCAGGTATGTCTGGATGCCCAGATCCCAGTCCACCTCGGGCGCGCCTTCTTACCTCCAGGGTCGAACGAGTGTTGCTCCTCCCCCCTCGTCAGTGGGCGGCCGGGGGCCCAGCACATGTCTAGCGCCTCCCTCATTTCACGCTTCTGCTGCGGAGGACGACCAACGGAGAGGAAGCGTGTTGCCAAATAATTTCCAGATGCCTAAAACAACATATGTTAAACATGAAAAATGCTTTTTTTTACATGATTAAAACATTCTCCGATCTGTTACAAACACATGCTAAATTCAATGATAGGGCTGTTAGGGTGTCCATTGTCGTGGCACCCGCAACGCCTCTACCCACTTCTTCCGTCCGACGGGCAACGTCAACCGGTAAGCTTGCGGAGCGCCGTGCGGATGTCGTCGGCGATGAACCCCCTGGCGCGCTCCGCGCGCCAGGGGACGGGGCCGAGCAGCGGAGCAGCGGGGCCGAGCAGCGGGGAGGGGGGGCGGCTGTCAGGCCCGCGTCTTCTGAGGAGCAGGGGTGCTTCCAAGCAGCCCCTCCCCCCCCCCCTCCTCCTCCTCTCCTCCTCCTCCTCCTCCTCCTCCTCCTCTCCTCCTCCTCCTCTCCTCCTCCTCCTCCTCCTCCCTCCTCCTCCTCCTCCTCCTCCTCCTCCTCCTCCTCCTCCTCCCTCCTCCTCCTCCTCCTCCTCCTGCTCCTGCTCCTCCTGCTCCTGCTCCGCGGGCGGGGCCCCCTCTGCTCGCCGCCAACAGGCGACGGGGTCCATCTCCGACCCAGGAAGTCGCCGCACGGAGGCCCATGGAGTCTCTCTCCGTGCGGCCGGCTGTTCTTCCAGCCCCGGGCCCTCTCGGGGCGGCGTCTCGAGGGCAGCAGGGCGGGTTTGGGCGTCACCTTACCTCGGTGCCGATCTCGGGATTTCCCCCAGTTTCCGAGGGCGCGTCCCTCAGGGATAGGGAGAGAAAGCTCGAGGCCGGTTATCAGGGCGAATGGTCTTCCGCATTCGGGCCTTCCCGGAGGCCCCGTTGCGGGCCTCGGGTGTCCACCGAGAAGCCCGGCCCCAGCGCGAAGTCCATGCCCGAGGCACGGGGTGGAGATCCCCGAGAGAGCGTGATCCACCGCCGTTTTATTGTGGAAAATTCCCCATCCTTCCTCTGGAGCCCGGGTGTCTCCCTCCTCCGAAAATACCCCCCCCTCCTCGAACCACCACCACCCGTTCCTTCCCTGGCAACCCCCCCCCTGCTAACCCCTTCTTCCCCCCCTCTCCCTCCGGAGAACAAGCCGCGGGGGGGGTCACTACCGGTTCGAACCCCCCCCCTCCGCCCTCCAGAAAGTCGGGGGGTGGTCACTACCGCTTCGAAGACCCCCTCCCCCCCCACCTAATCACCGCCGGCAAACGACTCCCGGGAGGTTCCCACCACCGTCCTCACCACTGCCTTCACAGCTGTCCCCAGCTCCACCGTCCCCACCAGCGCTGTCCCTCTGTCTCCACCATTGTCCCGACCACTGTCGCACTGTCCCCACTGTCCCCGCCATTGTTCCCACCACGGTCCCACTCTCCCCACTGTCCCCACCACTGTCCCCACCACTGTCCCACTGTCCCCACTGTCCCCACCACTTTCCCACTGTCCCCATTCCCCGCTGCTCTCCCACTGAGCTGTACCACTGTTCCCACCACCGTCCCCACCATTGTCCCCACTGTACCACTGTCCCGTTGTCCGACCACCGTCCTCAATCACCGCCCTCACCATTATCCCCACCACCACTGTCCCCACCATTGCCCAACTGTCCCCACTGTCCCCACCACTGTCCCACTGTTCTCACACCACTGTCCCCACCACCACCGCCCCCACCACTGTCCCACTGTCCCCACCACTGTCCCAACTGTTCCCACCATTGCCCCCGCTGTCCCCTGCAGTGCCCCCACCACTGTCCCGATGTCCCCACTGTCCCCACCACCGCTGTCCCGTCCCCACCACGGTCCCACTCTCCCCATTGTCCCCACTGTCTCCACCACTGCCCCCACTGTACCACTGTCCCCACCACTGCTCCACTGTCCCCGCTGTCCCCACCACTTTCCCACTGTGCTGTCCCACTGTCCCCACTGTCCCCACCATTGTCCCACTGTCCGCACCACTCTCCCCACTGTACCACTGTCCCATTGTCCCACCGCCGTCCTGACCACCACCCTCACCACTGTCCCCACCACTACCGTGCCCAACATTGTCCCACTGTCCCCACCGTCCCCACCACTGTCCCACTGTCCCCACCACCACCGTCCCCACCACTGTCCCCACCACCACCGTCCCCACCACCATTGCCCAACTGTCCCCACTGTCCCCACCACTGTCCCAATGTTCTCACACCACTGTCCCCACCACCACCGTCCCCACCACTGTCCCACTGTCCCCCCCACTGTCCCACTGTCCCCACAACACTGTCCCCCCACCACCACCGTCCCCACCACTGTCCCAATGTCCCCACCACTGTCCCACTGTCCCGAGGAGCGGGAATCGTTTGCCGGCGGGGGAGGGGGAGGGGGAGGTTCGAAGCGGTATTGACCCCACCCCCTTTTTCATGATGGACTCGGGGGGGGAGGGGGGGGGGGTTCGAACTGGCAGTGACCCCCCCGGTTTTCGAGGGGGGGAAGGATTGGGACCCCCCAGTGACCCCCGCCGGTTTTCCGCAAGCAGCAGTAGAGCATGCTCTCTCAGAGATCTCCCGACCCCCACGCCTGGAGGAGGCAGGTCGTCGGAGGCCAGGGCTGGAGGCGGGGGAGTGGCGAGGAGGATGGGGAGAAGGGTGAGGGCGAGGATGGGGACGAGGATGCGAGGAGGAGGAGGAGTAGGAGGAGGAGGAGGCTGAGGAGGAGGAGGAGGAGGCTGAGGAGCTGGAGGAGGCGGAGGAGGAGCTGGAGCAAGGGGGGGGGGCAGAACCTCCCGCGTTCTCGCCTGCAGGATCTCGGCAAGCTCCCGGAGATCGGCTTCAAGGACCGCTCCGCGGGCTCGCCCTGGCTCTCTAGGAGTTGAGACGCCGCGCGCGCGCCTCGGTGCGATCGGCGGCCTCGTCTTCGATCGTTGCAGGGCGCTGGGCTGCGCACAGACAGGTCCCAAGCAAAGCACGTAAGCAACATACACGTGAACTCAACCGTGTGCTCTCTTCGCCGTGCGTTCTGCTAGTCTTACGATGTTCCAACCTACTCTAACCTTGATCACCAGAAAGAATTTCGAGCACCAGAAAAAAGTACCGAAACTCAAGGGTTTTCACGTGTCGGGCCCTGGAAGACACTCGTCCGACACTATTTCGACATTCTTTCGACACTTTTCCGGGTGCTCGAAATTATTTCCGGGATGTGGTCCTTAAATGCGATGGGAACAACATAATGCTAGACGGTGCACGCTCAGCGAGGCCTGTGTGCCACCATGGCGTACCTGGTCTCAGGTAGGCCCCACACTGGCCTTAAGTCGGGCCTGTCCCTCTACAGGAGGAATCTTCAAAAATAATCAAAAATAATACGGGGACGATTTTTGGGGTATTTTTTAAAACTATTTTTGGTGTTTCCTCGGAAATCGCCCTGTAGGGGGACAGGCCCCACTTAACGCTGGCCTCAAAAGGCCTCTAGGGTAGCCCCAGACGGTCCCAACAGCCCGCGCCGCCTTCGGCTGCACCCCTCTCCCACGCCCCCCGCCTTCGGTGTGCCCCCGGAAACACGGCAGGGCCGTTTTTTTACACCGTTTCTGAGAAAGCGTCTCTTGGAAATGGAAACGGTGAGACAACGGCAAGCGGAAATTTCGAAAAGACAAACGGCCCCCGCGGACTGGAGCCGGAAAGGGAGCCGGCAACCCTTCTGCGACGGAGCCGACAAAGAAACGGCGCCGGTGCCGGCCAAACGGAATTGCAGTAAACAACCACGGCCCCGCCCCCCCCTGGGCCTAGGGGAACAAAAAGTGTCATGAACATAAAAGCTCGGAGGTCCGCGCGGATTTCTCGGATCGGCGCTGGGGCCCCCCAACGGGGCTCGGGGGTGGGCAACGGCGAGGACCTGTTGGGGTGAGCTGGGGGGCCACCTCCATCGGGGGCGCGCAGACATGGATTGGCGACCCGTGGATTGGGCGCGGTCGCCAAGTCCATGGATCGGGGGAGGTGCCCTCCCCCAAAGTGCGGCTGGTGCCGCCTCGTTCGGCGGCGGAAATCAGCGATTTCCAGTGGAAACGGGCCCCTTTCGCTACAGTGAACCCGCATAGTATGAAGATGGGCAACCTTCCCAAGGGTACCCCCTTGCGTCCTTGCCTCCTCGGTCCATCTTGGGTCACTTTCGTTGGCCGCGCCCCGCTCGAAAAGCTTCGAGATGGGCGTCCGAGGCCCTTGCATCCTTACCGCACACCCTTACTATACGGGCTGACTGTCACCCACGCCCCCACGAAGCGCATGCTCGCAACCCGCCCGGCTCCAGGCTGCCCGTGCGCGCAGCCCCGGGGAGGCGGCCTGCCGCCTCGCCTCCTCCCGGTCGCGACATCTATGCACCGCACGGCCCTGCCGACATCCGCTCCGTTCGATCGTCGCGAGCCCCCCCTCCTCGTGCTCGTGGGCCCCCGCTCGAAGAAGAAACAACAGCATCAACTTGAACTGTTGGCGCTCCGCGCGGATGTTTGGGACCCGCGCTGGGGACCCCCCCCGGCGGCGCCTCCGGCGCCGCCCCTGGCGCCGGAGGCGCGCCAGGGAGGGTGGGCCCAGCGCAGATCCAAGAAATTCGCGCGGAGCGCCAAAACTTTCTGTTTATGCAGCCGTTTGCGTGTTCTCCTGCTTCTTCGTCTTCTTCTTCTTCTCGAGCCTCCCTCCTCGTACTCATCCGCCTCCGTCCTCGTCGTCCGGCTTCGGGCGTCGAGATCCATACATATCCACTGCTTCCTGGCCAGGCCCATCCTGGAGCCAGGAGCTGTGTATACGCCCTCCTGGCCAAGCCAGGAGGGCGTGGCGTACAGTGGAGGATCATGCCAAGAAACACCCTGCTTGCCTCCAGGGTGCCCCAGGTTTCTTGGGTTTTGATGGTTTTGATATGGAAAGCGTGACGTTCCCACACTGAAGATCAATGGACGTCCTAGGGTCTCAGGGTTGGGTTTCTTGTGGTAAGTTTCTTGCGGACTGGCCTCCACTGTATACACCGCTGCTGGGTTCAGGGTGCGCCTGGCCAGGGAGCCGGGGATATGTATAGATTTCGTCGCCCTGTCCATCTTCCCTCATTCCCAATACCTCTCCCCTCCATTATCCTCTTTCCTTCCTCCTCCGACCCATGGCCTTCGTGTGTCTAGCTGATGGGCGAACTGTGCCCACACGGAGTGTCTCTTTATTACTACTAGTATTACTCGTACTACTACTACTACTACTACTACTACTACTACTATTACTACTACTACTACTACTACTATTACTACTACTACTACTACTACTACTACTACTACTACTACTACTACTACTACGACTACTACTACTACTACTACTACTACTACTACTACTACTACTACTACTACTACTACTACTACTACGACTACTACTACTACTACTACTACTACTGCTGCTGCTGCTGCTACTACTACTACGATTACTACGACTACTACGAATACTACTCCTACTGCTACTATTACGACTACTACTACTACTACTACTACTACTACTACTCTTGCTACCACCGTCACTACTACTACTACTACTACTACTACTACTACTACTACTACGACTACGACTACTACTACTACTACTACTACTCCTGATACTGCTACGACTGCTACTACTACTACTGCTACTACTACTACTCCTACTACTCCTACTTCTCCTACTTCTCCTACTACTCCTACTACGACTATTACGACTACTACGACTACTACGACTACTACGACTACGACGACTAGTACGACTAGTACGACTACTACTACTACGACTACTACTACTACTACTACTACGACTACTACTACTACTTTACTACTACTACTAAGACTACGACTACTACTACTACTACTACGACTACTACGACTACGACGACTAGTACGACTAGTACGACTACTACGACTACGACTACTACTACTACTACGCCTACTACTACTACTACTTTACTACTACTACTAAGACTACGACTACTACGACTACTACGACTACGACGACTAGTACGACTAGTACGACTACTACTACTACGACTACTACTACTACTACTACGCCTACTACTATTACTCCTACTACTACTACCACTACTACTACTACTACTACTACTACTTCTTCTACTTCTACCACCACTACTACTACTACTACTAATACTACTACTACTACTACTACTACTACTAGTGCTACTACTACTACTACTACTACTACTACTACTACCGCTACTCTACTACTAAGGCTACTACGACTACTACGACTACAACAACAACTACTACTACTACTACTACTACTACTACTGCTACCACCACCACTACTACTACTACTACTACTACTACTGCTACTACTACTACTACTACTACTACGACTCGTACGACGACTACTACTACTATTGCTACTACTACTACTGCTACTATTACTACTACTACTACTACCACTACTACTACGACTACTATTACTACTACTACTATCCCTCCTCCTCCTCCTACTACTACTACTACTATTACTACGACTACTACTATTACTACTACTACTACTACTACTACTACTACGACTACTACTACGACTACTACTACTACTACTGCCACTACTACTACTACTACTACTACTACTACTACTACTACTACTACTACTACTACTACTTACTACTACGACTACTACTACTACTACTACTACTACTACTACTACTACTACTACTACTACTACTACTACTACTACTACTACTACTACTACTACTACTACTATTACTACTACTACTACTACTACTACTGCTACTACTACTACTACTACTACTACTACTACTACTACCACTACTACCACTACTACTACCACTACTACTACTACTACTACTACTACTACTACTACTACTACTACTACTCCTACTACTACTACCACTACTACTACTACTACTACTACTACGACTACTACTACTACTACGACTACTACTACTACTACTACTACTACTACTACGACTACGACTACGATTACGGCTACTACTACGACTACTACTACGACTACTACGACTGCTACTACTACTACTACTACTACTACTGCTACTGCTACTACTACTACTACTACCACCACCTCTACCACTACCACTACCACTACCACTACCACTAGACATAGTTTTAAAGTGTGCTTATGTGTAGATCTAGTAGTATGACTATTAGCTGTCTTCTTCTTTTTCTTTTTACCATTATTATTCATCAGTCCCCTCTCCAGTCCCCCACTTTCTACTCCCCCCTCCTCCTCTTCCCCCATCCTCTTTCCTCCTCGTCATCCATCCTTCTTTTCGTCCATCCTCATCCTGGTTGGTCCCTCCTCATTCCTCCTCCCTTCCTCAGCGGAGACGAAAACAACATGCTTTTCAGGTTCCAAGAGGTTAATGATGGTTGGAGGAGAAGGTGGAGGAAGGGAGGATTGATGGTGCTTATCTACATGTTTGGCTGTTCCCAGGAGTTCTGGAGTCTTCTCATCGACGTCGTCGTCGTCCTCCTCCCACCCTCCTGCCTGTTCGTCCTCTTCCCGCTCATCCTCCATCACCCGATTCATCCCGCCTCCTCCATGATCCTCCTCCATCTTTCTCCAGTCCCTCTTCTCTTACCTCATCTCCCTCCTCATTCCCCAACTCATGATCATCCTCCTGATTGTCGTCCTTATTTTTCTGATCCTCCCTCGTCGTCGTCGTCCTCCTCCTAATCTCACACGCACACACTCAGGCACTAGAAAGGATGCGAGTGCTGTACTGCCGCGCCTCATAATTCGTTCTGGCTGAGACGTCCGATTGAGTCATGAGGTGCTCCGCTGGTTCTAACCACGATGTTTGAATGGCGTATGGGCTGGTCGGGCGAGTCGGACTGCGCAGAATCTGGTTCGAACGTAGCGGTTCGAACCAGAGGGGCGTTTCCGAAGCCATCGGGCCAGCGACGTTCGATTTGGTTCTGAAGAGCCTTCTGGCTCAAGTCACGACGTTCGAATGAGTTCTGAGGTGCCCCGCGGGGCGAGCTCGCGATATTGGAGCTAGGTCTGGATCGTTGATGTGACGTCGGCACGTCACCCCCTCCCCCCGAAGGCTGCCTAAGCCGACCTCGGCGTCGCCGAGATGGCGCAGTCCGCCTGCTCGCCCACGTGAATGGCTGAGCGCAGGCACCTCGAAGTTCGAAATCTGATCGGGGACTGGGGCTTTCTTCGCAAGCATGGACGGGCGGTCGCACGGGCCCGCCACTGTGGAGTTTCCCCATCGGCCAGGTGCCTTTTCTTGCTCGCGGGGCGTTCGAAGAGAGCGCGGGGGTCATCACCCTGGACGAGACGCGCGAGCTGCTCGGGGCACATTCAGACAAGTCCGAACTGGCTTGCTGTCGCAAAGGAGCGCATCGCAGTCGAACGCACGCCCTGCAAGCGTATCCACTCGGAAGAGGCCGAGTTGAACATCACTACCGAGTACGTTGGCGTCGTGGGCGATGGAAGTGTGTGGAAGTGTTACACGATCAAGTCGCGACGTGGGTCTCCATGATGTGACAATATGATCCATTCCTCGAGGCGATCGTCCAGCGAGGCACCCCAGAAAGACTTCCCCGAGGGCCGCGTGGAACCTCTCACGATCGAGGAGTTCGCAGGCAACGCGCTCGCGCACTCGTCCGCCCAGGCGACGAAGGCGGGCAAGCGCGTCGGATCGGACGAGAGGGGCGGGAGCAGGAAGGCGTCACGGGGCAAGCGCGTCGGATCGGACGAGAGGGGCGTCACGAAGCCTGCTGCGACGCATTGGCGCCTCCAGCGCTGGTCGGCGCCGGAAGTGCCAGCCGCGCAAGCTGCATCGCTGTCCCCCCCCCCGAGAGGGGCGTACACCTCAGGCGATGCTTAAGAAGACTTAAGTTTTCGGCCAGGGTCTCGATGATTCTTAATGTTTCAATGTAAATCCTAAGATTTGAATCGACATTTTGGGTTTTCATTCAAGTTCTGAGACTATGAATTTCTTAACCCATGGTTTCTTAAGCATTTCGCAGGGTGTAGGCCGGCGCGCAGACGGCGGGGCATTCCGCGCTGCTCGCGGGCCGCGGGGCTCGTCGCCACCCGTGCCCTGCAGAGGTGCAGCGCCGCGGCGGCACGCCCTCCGCCGCGCGCGGCGCTCCTGTGCCCCGCGCGCGGGCGGGCCTCTGCGCCGCGGGCTGCGGCGCGGTGCGCTGCGCGGGCGCAGCGGAGCCCCTCGGGGCCGCAGCGGCCGCGCCCGTGTAAAACGACGCGAAGATCGGGACAAAATCGGATCGGGATAACTCGAAATCTCTGGGAATCGGCGGGTTTGGAGGATGTATTCGGCGCCGCGGCCGCTCCAGAGCGTTCCGGAACGCTCTGAGAGCGCTCCGGAACGCTCTGGAGCGATTTATCCCGATCCTAGCCGTGTTTTACCGTGCGATTTGCCGTCGCGGCTGGCAGCGGCTGGCGTGCCGCTTCTCGCGGGCCTGCGGCCTCAGCGCATCGATGGCAAAAGAGCCCCTGACCTTGATATACATGGTGAAGGCGTGGCCTCACACATAGACCCCCGTCGTTCCAATGGGGGTCGTATATAACTCTGGGCGGTTTGGCTGGGTACACCTGCAGGAACTAGAACCCGATTCTTAATGATTGTGGATCGGTACCCTCCCTCGCTGATTTCGGTAACCGAATCATCAACACCACACCAGGCCCCACGGGACCGCTCGTCGGAGCGGGCCTCGCGTTGGCCAAGGCACGTGCGCGGGCAGCCGCTGCCCCCCCCTCCGACCGTTGCGCCGCTTTGACGAGGGCGTGGCGGCCCTCCTGCAGCACCACCCGCCAAACCACCCCAACCCAGCCCGGAGCCCAACACTTTCCTCCTCCTCCTCCTCCTCCTCCTCCTCCTCGATTTCCAGTGTGGGGGGGGGTCTCGGGAAACATCGACACAAGCACAGGCGGAGCCCGCACCCCCCCCCCAACCCGAAACTGAGGTCTTCGGGTGAGGCTGGGGTGGTCTGGCAGGCAGTCGCTGCACCCGGCGGCTGGAACGGCCAGGCGCCGAAGCGCCGCGACTGCCGCGGAAGGGCCGATGGTCCGCCGATGACGTGCAGCCTGTGTCCGCCCTCGCTGCGCTACACCCGACTGTTCTTTGTTAGAGTTGCCCCTCTCTTTAGTTAGCCACTCCATCTCGTCATCCCGCTGCGTTTTCCCTGCCCGCTCCCGTACTGCCCGTTCCAATCGTCCTCTCCCGATACTCTCGGCGGCACGCCGCGGGGGGGGGGACGTGGTGAGGGCGAGCGACGGGGATTCTCGGAAGCCCTCCCGCCTTTGGGAAGCCATTCGTGACTTCAGAAGGCCCGCCCCTCTGCGAGGCGGGAATTTACACATGACCACCGCCTGGAGGGTCAGTTTTCGGAGCCTCGGCAGGCGGTGGCTGTGGACATATTCGGGTCCCCGGGGGCCGAAACGTAGCCATATCCACCGCCCGCTGGTCTGGACGCCCGAAATGGGTACGGAAAGAATGGGTACAATGCCCAACAGCAATTACTGTTCATTTTGAGCAGGACTCGCTGTCCGCGCCGCCGCGGCCTGTGTCCATTCGCGACAGAAGGCCGCCTGCCCAACAGCGGCCGCTGTTGGTTTGGGACAACATTTGTTGTTGGGCATTGTACCCATTCTTTCCGTGCCCATGTCGGGCGTCCAGAGCTGGGGCACCAGGAAGTCGGTTCCCAGGCGGTGGGTATGGATAAATCCCTGCCTCGCAGCCTGGGTCGTGTGAAAGGGCCTCGGTGCACGAGCACACGTTGGCGCTGGCGCACGTTCTGAGTGTCGTCGGGAGGGGCGAGGCGCGGCGCTCGCACCGCCTCGTCCGGGGCGGCGTCGAAGAGTCTCGCAGGTTCGCGATGCGGTCGTCGATCGCTCGTCTGGGAGCCGCGGCCCGAGCCGCGGCAGCGGCTCCGGGCTCTCGTGGCCGCAGTGCGACTTCGTCGCGGTGCGTGACCAGGCGGCTGCAACAGCCAGTCTGACGATGCGGCTGCATTCGGCTTGTCAGGCCTCTCGACGTTATCATAATATTCGCAGCTCGCTTCCGCACGGAATGGTAATTCTCACCGTTCGCACCATTACCACCATCACCACCAGTTTCATCACCACCAGTGTCACCCTGCCCATCGTCGGCATCATCATCTGCAACATCACGTTCATCAGCGTCATCAACAACATGTCAGTACAATCGTCATTAACAGCATCAGCCTCATGGTCAGCACGTGCAGTTGTAAGTGCTACGATTGAATCAGTTTGCCCGCGCTGCCGGAAGCCAGTCCTGCTCCTCTTTTCATCCCTCTCCCCCCAGCCGTTTATCCTCCTTTTCCTCGCCCCCATTCCTCTCCGCATCATCCTCTTCCTGATCGTTATCGAGGCCCTCCTCGTTCTTCTACTCCTCTCCTCTCCCACTACTCCCCGAATCCGCATCCTCTCTCTCTCTCTCTCGTTTTCTCGTTTCTCGTTCTCCAGTTGTTTCGTCTTCTCTTTCTCTCTCTCTCTCTCTCTTTCTCTCTCTCTTCACGTATTCGTTCTCTCCGGTAATACACGCAAACCTCGTTCATTCTAGCTTTACCGATTTCTCTTCATTAGATGTGTTCCCTCTTCCTTTGTACCTCTCTCTCTCTTTCTCTCTCTCCCCCCCTTTTCTTTGGTGTTCTTCCTCCTTGGGCATCGATCTGTATATCTACACACTATACGCATCCATCTCTCTCTCTCGTCCTCCTTTCTCATCCTCCGCCCCCCTCTTCCCTGTGATTCCCCCGGCTCCGCGCGCCGCTTCCTCCGTCCCCCGTGCGCCAGATCATGATGAACGTCGGCAACCCCTCCGCGGCCTTCGAGTTCGGGCAGATCCCGAACGAGGGCATCGGCCTGGCCCGCCTGGAGTTCGTCATCAACAACGCCGGCTGGCCCAGCCTGCGCACCGCCCGACGCCGGCGGCGGCGGCGGCGGCGGCGGCACCTGCTGCTCGGCGGCGGCGAGGGCGCCGTCGACGACGAGTACGTCGGGCGTGTCCCACTACAGAAGGAAGGTTCAAAAATAGTCAAAACATGGTCTGGGGATGATTGTTCTATTATTTTGCTGATGTATTTTTTTTTTTTTGCATTTATGGGGTATGTCTGATTTTTCGTCTCAAATCCACTTGTAGGGGGACATGCCCGACCGAAGACGACGGCGGTGATGTCGACGGCGGCGCGGTCGGGGACGGCGGTGCTCGGCCCGGATCGGCGGTCGAGAAGGGGAGCCGGTCGGTGATCGGGCCCCGAGGCCGCAAGCACTGGCCAGGAGCACCAGAAAAAACCAAGTCTGCCGTCGTTGGTGTTCCCGCGGGGGACAGCGCTTCCGGTCGGTGGGATGGGGCGGGAGTGGACGCCTTCTCGTGCGGATCCCGCACTCTCAGGAGGACAAGAAACACACAGACACAATTCATCGTCGATTCCCCCGAGAATATGGGAAAGTATGGGAAGTGGGGGGGGAAGACAGAAACCCAGAAAATATGGGATAATATGGGGAATATCTTTTTATTTGTGTGTGTGTGTTTATTTGTGTGTCCCAGGGGCCCCTTCACACTCGGGCCCCCTTTCGAGCCCAGTCCCGCCCACGCCCGACCCGAGGGCGAGAGCCGCGCTTCGCCCGCTGGCCTTGCGAAGCAGGGCCCGCATCGAGCATCGGTGATCGACGGGGGGAGGAGGAGGGGGAGGAGGAGGGGGAGGAGGAGGGGGAGAAGGAGGAGGAGGAGGAGGAGGAGGAGGAGGAGGAGGAGGAGGAGGAGGAGGAGGGAGAGAACGAGGAGGAGGGAGATGATGCCCGCGGGGTGAGGCGGACCGCGTCGAGCCACGGCCGCCCCTGCGAGGCGCGCGCCCCGCGCGCGCCCGCGCCTCGGCGCAGCTACGCGCCCGAGGCTGTCGGCCAGGCCTCACCCCGCGCGGCCCGCAGCAGCCTCGCCACCTTGGCTGCCAAGCCTGGCGAGCAGCTGCGCTCCCGCGCGCCGCGCCGCGGCCTCGGCCCGCCGCCTCCGCCGCCCACAGCCCCTGCTTCGCATCGAGCAGCAGAGCCACCTGCGGGCGGCGGCCTCCCCTCCTGCAGCTCGCCCTCCATGGCCACGTCGTCGCCGCCCGCAGCCCCTGCTTCGCATCGAGCAGCAGGTTCCCCTGCAGGCGACTGGACCTCCGCCTGCGGCCTGACCTCAGTGGCCTCGCGCGGCGGGGACTGTCCGCCGTCGCCGCCACCTGCAGCCACCTCGTCACCTCCCCGCGCAGGGCCCGCCACAGGCCGCTGGCTCTCGTCCTGCTGCTTGAGCACCTGGGCCACGCGCCTCGGCGACTGCGAGGGCGGCGTCAGCTCGGCCAGCCTCGGCGAGCTGCTGCGCACACGCGCGCGTCGCCGCAGGCCAGGCCCCCCGCCGCCGCCCGCAGCCCCTGCCGCGCCACGTGCCGCGGCATGGGGCACCGCGGCTGCGCGCCTGCCGCCAGCTCGCCCTCTCGGGCCAGCCACCACGCTGTAGTCCTCCACGTCGTCCGCCAGCACCTGGACTCCACTGGCCTCGCTTGGCTGGGGCGATCCGCCGCCGCTGCCACCTGCAGCCACCTCGTCTCTTCTCTCGGCAGGGCCCGCCTCAGGCCGCTGGCTGCCCTCCTGCTGCCTGGCCACCTCGGCCGCCGTCCTCGGCGCCAGCAAGGGCGGCATCGGAGCGGCCTGCGTCTGCGAGCTGCTGCACACACCCGCGCGGCGCCGCGGGCCTGGCCCGCCGCCGCCGCCCGCAGGCCCTGCCTCGCCTCTCGCGGCATCCTGGCGCGCCGCGGCTGCACGCCCTCCGTCAGCTCGCCCTCTCGGGCCAGCCGCAGCGCGGTAGCCCTCAGGGGTCAGGGGACGCAGGAAGCACACATACTCCCCGCCCCTTGGAGCTCCTTCAGGCGTGCGCAAGGCGTGGCTGTCCTCTTCCCTCGCGATGTCCTGCGGCGGCTGGCCCCTCTCCCCTTGCGCGTCGTCCGCCATCATCGGCGGGGGCGGTCCGCCGCTGCTGGCACCTGTGGCCACCTCGTCTCCTCCCTCGGCAGGGCCCAACTCCGTCCGCTGGCTCTCCTCCTGCTGCTGCTTGGCCACCTTGGCCGCCCGCCTCGGCGACCTCGAGGGCGGCGTCAGCGCGGCTCGCCTCAGCGATCGGCTGCGCACGCGCGTGCGGCGCCGCGGGCCTGGCCCTCCGCCGCCGCCCGCAGGCCCAGCTTCGTCACCTGCCTCGGCCTGGTGCGCCGCAGCTGCACGCCTGCCTCCAGCTCGCCCTCTCAGGCCAGCCGCCGCTCTGGAGCCCTCAGGGGTCAGGGGACGCGGTGAGCCCGCTTCCTCCTCTGCCCCACCACCTGGAGCTCCTCCTGGCGGCCTCCAGGAATGGCCGTCCTCCTCCTCTGCGATGTCCCGCGGCGACTGGCCTCTCCCCTCCTGCACGTCGTCCGCCAGCGTCGTGATGTTGACTGCCACCTCGCTGACCACCTTCGGAGCCAGCCCCTTCCTCAACCTCGCGACTGCGGCGGCACCTGCAGCCGACGGGACTCTCCTGCACTCGAGGTGGAAGGAGCTCGCCCTGGCCGCGCCTGTGAACCCGCACGCCCTGCACGCGACCAGCGGCATCCTGCGCACCAGCAGCCTCCCATCCACAGGCGCAAGTAGCACCAGGTCGTGCGACGCCCTCTGCTGCGCCTTCAGCCTGTTGTTGGCCCTGATCGCCTCGGCGACGATGCTGCCAGGGCACTCACCCGATCTGCCTGACCATCTGCAAACCTCGCACCAGGGGCGCTGTCCAGGCGGCCTCCGCCAGACACAGGCCATCCTCGCCGCTGGCTCCCTGCGCCCTGGCAGCGCTCGTTGCACCTTCGTCTTGCCATGCGTGGTGTCGCTGCCGTCGATCCAGCTGCCGACTGCCGCGCACCACATGGCTACCCGTTCGACCACGTCTCGGCTCCTCTCCAGGCGCTCTCTGTCCCGCTCGGGGAGGCGCCCGCTGGCCGCCGCAGCCTTAGCCGCCCTGTCTGCCAGCCGGTTGCCGTACCAATCTCTGTGCAGCACCTCGCCTGCCGCCACCTGCCGCCGCGTGCTGTGGCTGGGCATCCACCTGAGGCTGACCTCATGCCCGAGCCCTCCTCGCTCGTCCAGCAGGTCCCAGGCTCGCCGCCACAGGTGAGCCCACGTGTACGCGTAGCCCGTGGTGCCTGCCCTGCCGACCTTGTAGAAGCCGTCGTACACGTACTTGGAGTCGACCACCAGCACCGTGGCCCCTTGGCCAAACCTGAGCGCCATGATCACCGCCGTGAGCTCCCCGCCGTTGATGTCCACGCAGGGGCCCTCCATCTGGCCAGCGATGGAAGCCCTGTAGCCGTCACTGTGCGCCTGCAGTGCCACCACACTCCAGCCAACTGCCGCCACCTCCTCGTAGTCCGCCTCGAACGCCGAGCCGTCAAGAAACAGCTCACCTTCAGGAAGGGCACCTCCATCGTGGTCGCCCTTCCAGCACACGTCGCTGCACACTGGCGGGCGGCAGAAGCCCCGTGGTGTCGGCCACAGGCGCCTCTCCAGCAGCAGCTGCACCTCAGGCTTTCCGCTCTGCCTTCGGAGGCCTGCCAAATCCTCAGGGACCGTCAGCACCTCACCCCAGCACGGGCAGTCGAAGTGCCTGTGCATCAGCGTGCCCCTGGCGCCACACCTCAAGCACTCAGCACTGGTCGTCAGCCCCTTCTCCTCTTTGCGCGCCTGAGTCCACTGCCCATCGATGATGAGGGACCTCAGGTAGGCCTGCTCCCGCGCCGTCAACCGAACCCTGGTGCGAGGGGCTCCCTCCTCACGGCGTGGCTCGCCGGCCTTCCTGGCACAGCCAGAGGAGGTGAGCCTGACCAGGGGCTCCAGCTCGCCGCCACCAGCCAAGTGCGCGCACCCTGGGGCTTTGCTGACCTGCCTCCGCTGCCAGCGCTGCACTGATCTCCTCATCAGCTTGGCCACGACCCACGGCGCGCAGTCGAAGGGCGCGATGGCCACGCCGTTGTCCATGACCCAGTAGTTGGCGTTGACGACGTCCCAACCGATCCTCCTGAGGGAGAGCACCGTCGCCGCGCACGGTCCCTGCACGTGCACCCAGGACACGGGCCGCTTGTCCTCGAGCCCCTGCCACACCATGTGCAGCGGCACCCACTGCTCCCAGACTGCACGCAGCAACATCAGGACCGGCTTGCAGGTCGCGTCGTAGATCGGGTCGAGACCTGCCTGGAGCATGAGCCCGAGCGACCTGGACTTGCTCGCCGTGGTGTTGGAGATCGCGACGAACGTGAGGGTCCTGGCGCGGTCCAGCTCCCCTTCCGTGCAGCCCGTGATGGCCGTGCCGTACCCGATGCATGGGTGCAGCCCCGTCTTCACGATCCTCTTGGTGGCCTTCCGCTTGGCCTTGACCACCTGCAGCACTTTGATACTGCGCAGCCTGCCTCTCGCCTGCGCCATCCTGTCATGACGAATCGCTCGTCCTATCCTCTTGCCCCCACTGAAGTCGACCCCCAAGTTCCTCTCCTGCCCCGTGGCGCGCACCCCCAGCGGCTTCAACAGGCGCTTCTCGAGCTCCTGCCTCGCTGCTGGCACATTCGCTAGCGCCCTGGATTTCTTCACCGCGATCTCCAGGTCGGCCTCACCGAGCAGTACCTTGAGGTGCCTGGCCGCCAGCGTGAGGTCATTGACTGTCCGCTGGAAGCCACCCACCCTCTTCAAGATGATGTCGTCCACGACCACCGACATCGCCAGCGTGGGCACCAGCTCCTGCAGCTTGTCCAGCGGCTCCAGCAGCAGCATCTTGAGCATGAGCGTCGCCAGCCCGTCTCCAGGCAGCACCGCCTGCTCGGTGCAGATGGCATTGCTGACGGCCTCGTCCCGCGCCAGCCACCT